AGTCGTTTAGTAGATCACTTTTCTGGGGGTAATAATCCCTCCAAAAAAGCATGTTGTCACTCAGTCCGAGTCTGTTTGGGGGACACTACTGTGCGCAATTGGCTGCTGGGTTTCACCCACAAAATATACAGTTCAATTCACTTTATAGTATTCTCTGCGGAGCGCTTTGAGACATCTTGATTACGCGATAAGGCGCTATATCAAATGCAAGGATTATTATATTATTATTAAAGTCACTAAGACTTGTAAAATTGTCTCATTGCAGTATTGCAAAACATTTAGTGTTAAGCCAAATCCACAATTATATGAATCAATGGGTGGTGTTCCTAGCTTTCTGCATTAGTGCAGTTTTCAATATGTCACTTGCATAGTCTCTCAGGTCACAGAACTAATTCATATTCAGTTGATTTAGATACATCTGAACCTAAAGGCTTTTGAGGTATTGTACTTCAGTAGGCTGTAGGATTGGTTTTAAAAATGGAAATCTTGTAAGCAAAATTCAAATTTGAAATAATGTGCAAGAATTATAAATAAGGTAGCTAAATATCAGTTTGAATATCTCAAGGCGTGACATTTCCTGTAACAACCAGTGAAATCTGATATCACTGCAGTTTGAACCGTGTGGTTTTGCTAATACTGTAATGCTGTTCAAATGTAGAATCAGTTGCACAAAAGTATAAGAGAAGAGAAAGTATAAGTATAAGAGAAAGTATAAGACAGTAAATACTGAAACAAACAGAAGTCGCTGGGAACACTCAGCAGGTCAGGCAGCATCTATGGAGATGTTGCCTGAATTTCTGAGTGTTCCCAGCAACTTCTGTTTTTGTTTCAGATTTCCAGCATCTACAGTATATTGCATTTTGTTTAGACAGTAAAAACTATTTGATGTAGCTTGAGATAAGTAAATATTCTATGGGACACAATTTCAATGGTGGAGGGGTGAATAGGGCAGTTGCGGAGATGGATGAGTTTTTACTTTTGGCAATCAGAAACTCACATTTCAGTGCTAAATTTCTCAAGACAATTTAGGGGATAGGTTTTGTATACTCTGAAGAAGCAGCAGATTTGAATAGCCTTTTGTCACTCCATGATATATTTTAATGTACATGCTGACCCCTTATTCCTGATTATATCATGCAGCTATGAAGTAAAACTACACTCAGAAGTTTATTTAAAGAATAGTGCTTGTAGGGTTTGATTCAAGGCTTTAATAAGGCATTTTGGTTCCTTATATAAACTATGAGTAACTGACCAACAGTAGCTGACTGAAATACATTGGACTTTGTTGCATAAGGAGACAGTAGAATGTACTTCCCCTTTGAAATGCAACATATTTGCAAATTAGATGGTGGGAGAGGAGAAGAGGGAGAGAGAAAAACTTGAGAAGAAAGTTAATCTTTGGTGGTTTTCTGCACCTCTTAATGGCTAAAATGTGCTTTGTAGAGTATTGCAAGGGAAAATGAGAAACTTAATAAACTTGAGTAAAGTAAATTGAAGCATGTTATTTAAAAGCAGATGTTAAGTACATGTTCAGAGTGTAAATCTCCTGAATTCAGCTAAAATCCAAACGGAAGCCACCCATCAAGCATTGTGTTTTCCAATACCAAACCAGCATAGATCTGGGGTGGGCTGGGAGCAGGTTCAGGTATTTTCTTTCTAGAGGAATCTGCAACAATGCTCAGAGGCAATTTGTTAAGATCGGGACAAAAATTAATGTTTGCTATTGTTCAAGAAAAATTGTAATATGTATGTGGTAAGTAGAGGTAAATGAATTTTTAGCTGCCTTCCCCGGATGGAATACAGAATTAATTCAAGTGTATGAGTGCATAAAATCAGATTGTTTCAATTTGCCCATGTAAACTGAAAGGTTAGCAATTGCCACATAGAGAACTAGGACTACAGAATTGCAAACTGACTGCAAATGTTTGAGTGAGTATATTTGTAGGGCACGCCCTTCGTTTGTGTTGTGTCAGTATTTGACATAGAAACAGCCATTTTTAGCACAGAGGGTTCAAAGAGTTGGCAGTCTCTTTAAAGCACTTTTTTTTGGAAATACAACTGTAATCTGATCCGTCTGCAGCACGCAGGTATGTATAGCAAATCAACTTTACTCACACCTCTACCTCCAATCCCTACTCAAGTCCCTCCAGTCTGGTTTCTGCCCTGCCTACAGCACAGAGCACTCTTCAAACTCCCGCTGCCTCCTTGTTCTCCTGGATCTCTCCGCTGCGTTCAACACAGTCAATCATGCCATCCTCCACCACCGCCTTTCCTCTCTCATCCCCCTTAGTGGGAATGCACTCACCTGGTTAGAGTCCTACTTAACTAACTACCATCACTTTGTCTCTGCATATGTGTTTTCCTACTGCCCCCACCCGGTCATCTGCGGTGTACCCCAAAGCTCTATCCTGGGCTCCCTTCTTTTCCTGATATACATGCTCCCTCTCAGCGATATCATCCACAGACATGGGGTCAACTTCCACATGTATGCGGATGATTCCCAAATCTACTTTTCTGCAGTTTTCAGATCACGCCTGAAGACCTTCCTTTTCGACTGTGCTTATGATCACCTCCTCCCTTTGGTTCGGCATCAGGTTCCATCACTGTTAAATGCTCCTAGACCTTAGCCTGCGTGGAGGGCACTCTATAAATGCAAGTTGTTGATGTTGTGGTTGTCAACAAAAGTGATAAAACCTTACAGAATTAGGTACAGACCAAAGTGCATGCTAGAAGTGTGCGGGTGCCATGAAGCAGGGAAAGTGATGGCACATGAAATCTGCCTGAAGTAAATATCGCTTGCTGGGTTGTTATTTTAAGAACAATCCTTGCTGGTTGTTTTCCACAATACGGTACTTTGCCACACCTTGTATAAACTCTCTCTACAGAGAGTATAACTCTACACTGCAGAAGGAGGTTAATCAGCCCATCAAGCCAGCACCGACTGGCTCACAGAGCAAGGATATCGCTTCAGTCCCACTGACCTGCCTTATCCCAAACCCCTACAATACCCATCAATTTCTGTTTTGAAAGTTGCAATGGACTCCGCCTCCACCATCCTACTCTGCAGGGCATTTCATATCCCAACTACTCTCTGGGTGAAAATAATCTTCCTAAGTTTTCCTTTCGCCATTCTTGTCGCTATCTTATAACTATGTCCCCTAGTTACTGACTCCCTTATCAATGGAAGTAACTTCTCTCTATTTACTCTTAACAAAAATCAATAAAGTCAAACATAGACAGAACTACCTGCACATAATATTGACAATGTCATGAACAAACCAAAAAGATTGCAATGTAGAATTCTATCACCATGCTATGAACTTTGGTTCCCCAAATCCATTCTCTTTTCCTTCACCCCCTGAGGATATTGCATGCTTGTTCTAGGACATTTATACTATATCATACCAGTACTAGATTTTAGAGTGGGCTGTTATTGAAAATGTATATAAAAAACATTTTGATCGAAGGTTATAGGATCAGCACAGTAAAATAATTTTATTTTAAAACAATAGGTAAAATTTCAAGTCCACTTTCAGCATAACATATGGTTTTGCCATGTAGTTAGACTTCTTTAAAAAAAAAGTAGTTCTGTATTTCCCATCTTTTTTATCACATTCCACAGCTTTGCTTGTTAGACATACACTGGATAAATAATCAGCACTTCAATTAAAAACTCAGCACAAGATTTGTTTTGCCATTTTTTTGTCCAGTTTCCAGGCTTTGTTCATCTTAGAACAATATCTTTTTTTAAAAAAAAGTGGAACTGGGTATGTATGGAACAAATTACATTAAAACTTTAGTTAAACAGTTTTTGAACGCAACGCTTATATGAGCAAAACTGCAAAGATGTTCTGCCAAAGAATGTAAACGTGTAGTTGAAAGGAAGAAAATGATGGCTGAATCAGCTGTTATGTTGTTTCTTGTGTGCTAAGTGGTTTATGTGTTCCTTTTTTCTCTTCTTAGTGAACAGTTTTGATGAAAGTTCCCTGTACCAATGTATTGTGTTTGCTGAATGTTAACAGGAAATTAAGTGGAATGTCTGCACTGGAATTTTGGCATAGAGTAAGCAGAAACTGGGTCGATGTTGGAATGTGTGACGCATGTAAAGCAATTTGTACGTTAACTGCAAGTGCGGATTGGACTATTTTTGCTTGTGATTTAAATGATTACGGATATCTCTGTTTTTTAATCAGACTTCAGACTGGGGAGTTTTCACTTTCTCTTCACTACTGTGGGTCCTGTTGTGAAGGTGAATGAGTGACAGGTCTTTGTCAAAACTGTGTCCACCTGAAGATGGCACCTCATGCATCTTTCCCTCTTCGATTCCACTTGGTTCTGCTAAAGACTCAGTTAAAATTGGCATTTGAGAAAAGCCAACCACAGCACTAAGTGCGAATAGAATTCAAACCTAGGTCTTGGAATCAGTTGTAATAGAATTATGATACTTATATTTGATATAGTGCCTTATTACATGAAAGCATTTCAAAGTGCTTCATGTAATGTTACTTTGCAGTGGTGACAGTTATGAAGGCATATGTATCAGATACTCTTGTGTTAACAATATCCCACCAGCAGCATTGGGATGAATGACAAAATTATATTGTTTTTATTTATGAATTTGGATGTGGGAGCTGAGGCATACTTTTAATGCTCCTAAAATTTGGTAGCATTCTAGTTGGTTTGAGGTCAATCCAGGCTAAATTGTCGGAGGTGCTGTTTTTGGATAGGATATTAAACTAACGTCCTATCTACCTGTTCACGTGGATATTCTCAATCAAAAAGAGAAGGGAGATTCTCATAATGTCCTTTCCAATAATCCTCTAGATTAATTGATAATTAATCTCGTAGCTGTTTGTAGATCTTTGCTAGTGCAAATTGTTTACCTATAAAAAGTCACTACATTTGAAGGTATTGTGGAATGCTTTCAGATGGTTCAACCTAATGGAAGGGCTATAAAAATGCAGTTCCTTTCTGAACTCTTTACTCTTTTATGTTCACAGTTCTGCAGTGGTCAGTGAGCAGCGGCATCATATGCTTTCATGGTTGCACAGTTGAAACATCATTAAACTGGAATATTGAAAGAGCATAAGGGGTCATGGCAAACCGGGGAGCTTCTAGGCCTAATGGCCTAGGCCAGACAAAAATCTGTCAGTTCAAACTGGTTTTACTAGGAGACATGGCAGTGGGGAAATCCAGTTTAGTCCTGCGTTTCGTCAAAGGCCAATTTGATGAGTTTCAAGAGACGACAATTGGAGGTAAGTTATTTTTTTTAAAAAAAGTTTACAAAGTAGTGGAAATTATTTACAACCCTTGTAGTTTTACCTTGTGTTTTGTAAAAGGTCTTGTGATTTGCTTCCTGATCAGGGTCAAAAGCTTTCAGTCCCAACCTTGACTGAGACACACTTTGACTTTGCCTAGATGTGGAAGGGCCTTAGATTAGTTATGGGAGTGAGAGAAGAAAGATAAAGGGAGCGCATATACTGCGTTTTGGGAGTGACCAAGAAGTGGCATTGATAATATGTCTGTAGAAAATATATTCTATTGGTTGTTGAAGAGGTAAACACTGGTGGGTTAAAGGATAGCAGGAACAAAATTTGGCATCAACTTTTTAATCTTATTCCCTGCATAATTAGTCCTGTAACCATAGTAAAATGTTTTAGTATAACTGCATACACAGATTGACACAGCACCTACATTTATTGCAATTTGTTGTTGAATTTAATGTAATAATTTCCTCCAGTGTTCTGGTTTGAATTTTTAGAAATTATGCATTCTTATAAAAAAACCTCTGTTTGAAATTTAGTTCGTATTGCTATGAGCAACAAAAGTCTAAAATCACGGCGTGCACAAATGCCTGCCAAATTTTTGGATCTTATCCTGGCTTGAAAGATCTGAGTTTTGATTTCTTGTTACGTGCTCAGTTTGCTGATCTCAGGCACAGTAACCGAGTGCTGCAGTTAACTTTAGTAGACTTGGGCTAGTGAGAGAAAATCAGGCAGGGTTCCTGCTCCATATGAACACCTACGCTAGAAATTGAGTGTATGTTTTAGCTGTCCGCTCCCTCCACACAGCGCGCTCCGGCCTGCTGACTTCCTCTTGACGTGACAGGCACTATACAAATGTAAGTTGTTGCTGTTGTATGTGTGAACAGTGGGCCGGAGCAGACTCGTCTGTGACGTTCTCTGTAGTTGATTAGCATTCCTACCTTCACTTGGGTGAGGTACCAGATGTGCTAATGGTCTGGCACTGAAGTAAGAGTCTAGGCGTTTTTTAGAGAAGCGAATAGAGAATATTGGCAATTTTGTGAACATCTGTTTTCCTTGATGAGAGCAGTATCTCTGGACAGTAAAACCCTGATTGTACACACTAACAGATGCTCAGATTGCACATTACTTGTTGCAGGATGATTAGGGTTTTGTAACGATGCCAGTTTGGAGAGGGATACATCAGCATTTACAGGTCCTATGGGGAGTTCTTATTGCACAATGATTTTAAACAACTCTGTTTTGGTGCAGTCGTCAAATAAATCCAATTCAGTTGCTTAAATAAGGTATAATTAAGGTTAAACCCGTCTCAGATAAACCAATAGAGCTCAAATTTGTTTCTGCTTCCCCTGCAATGGTGCAAGTGATCTTAAACCTGAGTGACTCTGCCAATGGTTTGAGAACCGGTTGTTTGTTGAGGCTCTTGGTGTTAGCATTATATGAAAAGACGAGAAGCATTTTTCTCAGAAAATCAAGCGAACATCCTAGTTGCCTGTGATAATACAGAAATGTGACTGTACAGAAATAATCTTTTTTTATTTTATTTTGCAGCTGCGTTTCTTGCTCAGTCAGTCTGTTTGGATGATACAACAGTAAAATTTGAGATCTGGGATACGGCTGGTCAGGAGCGCTACCACAGTTTAGCACCAATGTATTACAGGGGGGCCCAGGCTGCCATAGTGGTATTTGATATCACAAAACAGGTAACCATAAACTTGGCTGATAACTGCTGGAAAATATCACTGTTTAATGTATTTCAATGTACAATTGATATAATTATAGAACGTGGGTGTAAGGGAGATTCACATTCAAACACAAATTAGTGCAGCAATAGCTGCTATTTAATTATTACAGTGGATTCTAATACATAAATAAATATCTTTGCATTTAATCTAGTGGCTATAAGATCAAAACACCTCAAAGTGCTTCACACAGGTATTTTCTGTCATAGTGATGATTGTATCTATTAGGCAAATATGACAGCCAATTTGCGCCCAACAATTTTCCAACCAAGTCGCAAAGTAAGTGACCAGTTTATCTTGAGAATTGCTGGGTAGGGTTGTTTGTAAAATTCTGCATTTACAAATGGATTAAAAGTCATTTGTAACTGCTGAAATTTACTATCGACTATTAGCACTAATGATTCATTTACAAACCTACCTAAATTGGCCCCTTCTTTGCAGAACATTTCTGTGTTTCTTTGTCCGCTAGTTAATATGCTTAACTGGAGGGATCAAGGAAACATTGCCAAGTACAATGCTTCGCATTTTTGGTTAAGAACTGGGTTCATCATGATGTGTTTAAGGTCAGTGCTCATTCTCTCTCTATGCATTCATAGAAAGGAGAATGTCTAAATCAAAATGATTTAATGTATGTTTAGCAAAATTATAAAACTGCGCCATATGGTCTTGTAGAATAGAAGGTGGTATGATCTTTGTAGCTCAGGAGGCATTTTAGCTGTACAGAATAGGAACAAGGGATTCTCAACACCCTGTTTCCACTGTGGTTGCAAGTGTGATTTTGTTTTGAAGTTGCCGCTGTTTAAATTGAAATGATTAATGCAAATATGCCGATTAATTTAGGGCTAAAACAATCCCATCTGCATTGTATCGAAATGTGAGAAGATATTGGAGAGAGACTAGTGAACTATAAATATATCTTGGAAAGAATTTGGAGTTAATGCCTTGAAGATGGTGGTTGTAAATCAAAAAATAATTTGACATACTTAGAAAGCAAAAGGTAAAGAGAACTAACTGATGGTCCTTTAAATATTAATTCTAAAGATTTCCATAAAAAAAATCTTGGATTGAGTGATATGATGGAGAGTGGGATGTCTGCACTTTAGGTAGGAGAAGTTATGTGAAGAGCATTGCTTGTACATTTTGGAAACAATTAAAATTCTTGATAGTATTTTGCTTGGTTTGTATTTGCTTAAGATTTTGTTGCTTTAGTTTTATTTCACTTTTTGGGTTAAATAAAATAAAGTTAAAACTAAAAGCAAATATACTTAACCTGTTAGATATGCAATTATTGACAAATGTGGTAATGCATTGGATTTATTTTTACTGAATTATTTGTTGTTTTTTTTCGCTTAGGAAACATTTGATCGAGCAAAAGCGTGGGTAAAAGAATTACAAAGACAAGCCAGTCCTAATATAGTGATAGCTTTGTCTGGTAACAAAGCCGATCTTGCAGACAAACGTATGGTGGAATATGAGGTAATGGTTAGCTCACTTGTTAAATACAGAAATTAGAGCTTTGAGCTAAAAGCAAATAACTGCAATAAGAACAAACTGAGGTCAGATTTGATGTTTCAATAATAAGTGAGTTATAATAAGTGACATTGTGTGCAATTTTTCTTCCCATCATGTGTTATCTGATGTGGATACTTTGTGAAGTTCATTCCATCCCTGAAATTGTCCTCAGTACGTTAATTATTTTAGACTCCTCCGCTCCACCATCGGCGGCCGTGCCTTCAGCCACTACGCCCCAAAACTTTGGAACTCCCTCCCTCAGCCCTTTTACCTCGTCCCCTCCTTCCCCATCTTCAGGTTGCGCCTGAAGACCTTCCTTTTCGACCGCGCCTACGGTCACCTTCCTCCCCCTGGCTCGGCCTTGGACTTCACCATCGTTAAGCGCTCTGAGAGGCCACCCGGCGTGGAGGGCGCTATATAAGTGCAGGTTGTTGTTGTGTTGTTGTTTAGAAAAAAATAGATGAGATCAGGTTTCAAATCGTATTTGAATTACAACAGAGAAACAGATAAACTGGACAAATTTTATAGTTATTATTAATAATTATTATCAACATTTTTTATTAATATTAGTGCCTTACCACACAGTCAGAATGTCTCAGGATTTACTGTACAGGTTAGTGCCTGTGTATATTTTATAGAATTATTTACTTGTGAGTTATAGAGGCTAATTGCATTCATGTATCACTGTTCATTGGAGTAAATAGGGAGCCAGGATGGCTTTAGCCTTAGACCATCTACCTGAGTTTGATTAGTGTGGTATTTTAAAGTAATTGCTTGCGAATTAAATGCACGTTTCCTGTGTGTAATTTTCAGGAAGCACAAGCCTATGCAGAAGACTGTGGTTTGCTTTTCATGGAGACTTCAGCAAAGACGGCCATGAACGTGAATGATCTCTTTCTAGCAATAGGTAAATTGTGAAATCGATGCCAGTTTTTGCTGTTGATGCTGTTTCCCCAGACTAGGGCTGTACAGTGATGCAGCTAAAATCATGAAAAAAAGTACCTAATGTTAATAGATTTTCTTTACCTGTGGATATCCTCTATAGAGAAAGTATAAATCATTTTAAATTTCCTTTGGTCTTAATTTTTCCAGGTAAAAAAAACTTTTGTTCACAAATATTTTACTTTCCATCATTCATTCTTAAAGGGTGAGTCAATTTATGAACTTTTTAAATTGAAACATGGAGTGAGGAATCTTAAAATGAAATGAACCCACAGATTTTGAAATTTAACAGGAATTTGTTGTAAAGCGGATGAATTGAATCTGTTAGTTGCATCATGCAGTAGCTTTGACTAGAGCACTTCGGTTGATCCTTCTAAAGTCCTGACAAGAAATGAGTTAAAGCTTCCTGTGACCTGGAGCACTCCAGGACTTCTGTCACTGATGGAGGCAGTGGCATTCACGAGCAGTGGTTGTATGTTTTTCTATTTGTGTTATCTTTTTACTTCTTTAAATTCCTCTCTCCCAACGCCCCCCCCCCCCCATCCCCTNAGTAATTAATTAATTAGTTGTCAGTCGTATGCAAAAGAAAAACTTAAATGTTCATCAGATGCTTGCTCCCTCTCCCTTCCCCACCCACCCCATACACGCATACGTGTATGCAGTATAGTCCCATTTATAGCTAGTTTCATTATAACACAGGTTTGATTATAGAGCATTTGAGATGTGGACCCTGTCAAGACTTACCCAAAAAATCTAAAGTGTGCATGCTGACTCAATCGGCGCTTCAAAACAACAGCATGCAGGCGAGAAGCCAAAATGGGCAACTTGCGGGTTATCGGGTTGCTGAAATGCGCATGCGATGACATTAGTAGCGAGCTTATGACTTAGAAGTCATCCATTTTGGCTTCCTGTTCCGGCTGGTGTTTTGAAGTGCCAGTGTAGCCAGTTGTCTGTATGAGCAGCAAATGCAAAAGTGATGACTAGCAACTGCATCCTGTTAAAGCACTGGTTAGGATTTTATGATCACCAACTGCCACGTTATAATGGCTTCGTTGTATTCACACACGTACATTAATGGAAGCGTGTATGATGTACACGTCAGTGTGAAGCATTCCGTAGTTGAATAGCACGTTGATGCTCATTGTCCAGTGGGCACATTCTCAGATTTGATTTTACTGGTCATATTAATCAGTCACCTGCCACACAAATAAACTGGATTCTGTTCTTTTTCCATAGCTAAAAAAATGCCAAAAAATGACCCTCAGAATCCAGCCACCGCTGCCAGAAATCGAGGAGTAAATCTTCAGGAAACAAACCAGCCGAACCAAAGGGGCTGCTGCGGCAATTAAACATTGCAAACAATACGAAATATGGATATTGTGGGAGATTTGGCTTCCTTTTTGTATTATTGGCACACAATGCTGTGCACATTCCTTTTATCCTTCAATTTGAACTACTGCATGAGTCATTCTTCTCCCAGTTGACCGCAGGTCTCTTCTGCTTTTATTGGGCACCTGTAGAAAGTGAATGATGTACATAGCGTGACAAATCATTATGTAAAGGTCAGTTACTCACTTCCTTTTTACACCAGATTAAATGAAGACTTTTTCTGTAAATCAACCTATTTTTTGAGGGAAATATATTCTCCCTGACTCCAACCCACTGACCCTTTCAGTCCACTAATTTTTATTAAATATGATTTTATGTATAATAAGAATAAAGATTCCCAATTTGAATGTATTTATTCTAAAAATGAGATGCACAAAGAAATTCCAATTCACTGTGCATTTTTTTAAAAGAAAAAAATGAATTTCTAGTTTCGGTTTATCTGAGGGGAAAAAAGCATTTTCCAAATTTAGGATAAAAATAAACTGGACAAAATGTTATGAGAATCTTTGAAAGCACCAGTGTGCTCATTCTGATTCCCTAGACTTAGCCCAGTAATGTAGCAGTTCATTTTATGGTTCAAAGCACTAATTGTGTTGGTGACACTTATTAATACAATATCATTTTATTAATAAGGCAAAATGAACAAGGCTCATATATAGGGGGAAAATGGCAGTGCTGTTCAATTCTCATTCTCTACCTACCATGACTGAACTAAGCAATCTAATGGAGTAAATTTGTTGAAGTTCATTGTCAATTTAAGATTTTGTTGCTTTTGTGTATAATGTTCCCTTCTCGCGCATTTAAAATGCACCTGTATAAATATTCTCCTATTTATCAGCAAAGGACAAATGTTCTCTTAGTCTTATTTTAAATCTGTGGGATTAAGAATAATTTTCAGGAGAGTCGATTTTGGATTTTGATTCTACATTCTTATCAAAAAAGAATATATCCCAATTATCTTGAATCAGGACAATAAATGAGAAGAGGCAACTTGGGGATGGGTAAAAAAGAGCAGCAAGGTCTTAGCATTTTGAGAGAGATGATTTTGTGCCTTGATCTATATAGAAAGATTCAGTATTGACATGTGTGTTATTGCTGTATCGTAGATACATCATGATCCCAATGGGTCTTGGAGCTGGTGGAGCAACCTTCCTCTGACACTGTAAATGCTCGGGTACTATCGCTCCAAACACACATGGGTGTGTTGGGAGTATGTTGCTGTATGAACACATCATAACATTTGGGTTGCTCCTTAAAACCAACTACAATATAATCTGTTTGCCAACAAATTCACATAAGCCCTCTTATCTTGTATCAAATGCATTTTAGTTCTGATACATTGCCATATCGAGATGCAGATGCTTGGACACTGATTTCTGATAGAATATCCACCTTCAGAAGCTGCCTCGCTTCTCAGTAGGTGTGGTTAGACTTCTCAACGATATTCAAATAACTATGAATTCTCTGGCTGCAGGAGACAGACAATTGAGTCTTCTACTTTGAGAACAAAAACAAGTTTCTGGATGACCTGACTTTGACCTAGCCAGGGAAACGGCTGTGTTTGGTCTTCTTCTGTTTACTTCTCTGTCACAGACCAGGGGGAAGCAATCCAGGCTGATCTTAATGTAACCTCAATTTGTTGCAGAACCTTCCCGATGATAAATTTCATGGCTTTGTTAAACCCAGAAGATCAGGATTACCCTATTGGCTAAGTAACTAACTACACAGAGTTTGCAGACCAGGATGCCTGGTGTTTTCTGTGTTAGCCATTGCCAGTGAAGATAGGTATGAGGACAGTTGTCCTCAGCATCTGTGGAATTGGGAGGGAACAAAATCCTAATCGCTATCCTGTGACACTTGATGGAAGCAGACATTTATGGACATCAAATGAGAACTGAACTCGCACTCAAACAAATTTGAATAAAGAAGTTGTGGAATGGTGCCCCCTGTAGGAGTCAATGCCTTCAGGGGTAAGGAGGTCAAACATTTCCAAAAGTTGTTTCAGAGTTACAATTTCATGAAGAGACACTACGCTTCCCTATTTCCCCTACTTCTTTGTTTACTCTTCCCAAATTGCACTGGATTTGCCTTATTTACCGATGTAATCCCGAGGTTATAGATTGAAAAACGGTACATCTAAAGTGGAATAATTTCCCCTTTAAGGTCAGGAACTAATCGAAACTTAGTGAAGACTCCCATCTGTTACCTTTCTGTATTCAATTGACATGTAAGTGCATTTGACTATATATTTGTACTGGATTTACTAAGTTATCTGCTAAATCACTTGACAAGAGATTTAACCAGAGGAGGTAAAGGATGCTTTGGCTGGCCTTTTGTGTGTAAATATGTCTTTCACTAGGTCTAAATATAAAGGGATATTGAGGGGCTGAGAGCATCAGTAAATGAAGAGTAGTGTGAAGGTGAGGAAAAGAAAAGCATTGAGAAGATAATAGGAGCTGAAAACATTTTGTGTTCTGCAAGATATTAACAAAAAATCCTTGTACATTTTTGTTATAAGATTGTGTTAAACTGTGTGTATAGTGGTTGGTGTGTCATATGTTTTTGCCTTTTGTGTGTTCTCCCCTACCCCTGTGGTCTTCCTGTTGCCTTGCTCAGCTGGACATCTTATGCAGATAAAAGGGCTAGCTAGTAGCAACCTATTTCCAGGCCCCTGTCAATAAGAGTCAATAATTTGACATGGAATAATTCTTCTCTAACTTTAGCTTCCCTTCTCCTTTAGGGGGAGGCTGAGCTGGTCAAATCTAGGTCCCCACCAATGTGATGGAAAAATATAAACTCATTGAAAAACAGTTACATTTTTGAACATTTACAAAGGATCATAATAAGCTGGTACTGTTAGCACATTCGGAGTTGTACAAAATTCAGCCAGTAATCTTATATTTTTTATGATAACATTGCTTCCAACACATCTTGTATTACAGTACTGGTATTACAAGATTCTTTCCTCTCCCCTGTATCTTCCACATTTTATTACAAAACAGTTGAATTCTAATTTAAGGGCTTATACATAACAGTGACTAGTTTTTGTAGTCTTTAGAGAACAGTCTGTGATTCAATTTAATTTTCAGATTGGTGAAGCTAAAACTGAATAGATGAGAAATGTTTCCAGGGTCTCCAAACAAAATCACTGAGAGTTCCATGTACTTGTTTCTGTTTGCCTGTTACAGAGCGCAACCCCCTCCCAATTAGGAAGCAGTCTTCCTACCTAATCCTGGAGAGCTGAGGCGCAGGTTGGCAAGTTCTTTGGAGAACAGTAGAAGGCAGATACAACTTGAACTAGATACTATTTTCAATTAACAGCAGCGTTTATATAGTGAGTATTTCAAAAACTGATGACTTGCACAGGGCTGTTGAACTTTAAACCACACAGTAAAAGGCATAATACAAATACCGCTGTAAATCGTGCCTCGGGAACATGGTTGTTTCAACAGTTGACACGCCATCATTAATTGGTCTTCTGTTGAAAAATATTTCTGTTGCTCATTTTTTTCGAAGGAGTAAGAAAGATTAAGTTCCATTACTCATTTTGCCTGGGGGAGGTGAATGTGAGCAGAGAAATGTTGGAACTGGTTATAATAAAGACAATGCTATTTCTTAAGAGTGCAGGTTATTAAAAATAAACACTATAACACACTAATAATCTCTTCGGATTCAATTCAGTGGGAATAACTTTGTAAAGGTGTTTTTGTTTGTCATTTTATTGGAATAAACACAAATAACAAAAACCTTGTAATGTGTGGGATGAATTAACTGATTTCTAACCGCAGTAAAGCATCTGTTAAGGGTTAAGTATATCCTATGTAAAGGATAAAGAGAACTCTAAACCTCTTAAAAAAGAAAAAATTAAATGTTAGTGTATTGGATTCTTAAATGGTTCTTCCAATTGGCCTTTACTGTGTAAAATAGCTGTTCTCTTCATTTATTTCCCATTAACTTTCAAGTTAAAGCCTTAACAAGTAGAATGATCCCAGCTGGAGAAACAGCAGAAAGCTTGTCAAACAGTGTTTGCAATGATAAACTAATTGATTTTAGCTCCAGCAGTACTCTCATCACACGCTCTGAGGATCCTCAAGATGTGGTTCTTGCCAAAACGGAGCTTAATAATCTTCAGATCAGATGAACAAAGTATGTCTCTTCAGGGACAGTGCACATTCTATTCTAGGCACAGGAGTAGACCATTCAGTCCTGCAAGCCTGTTCTGCAATTCTATTAAATCATAGCTAATCTCCAATTCAATTACTCGCTTTAACTCCAACCTCAACTCCAATTATCCACTTTTGCCCCATATCCTTTGAAACCCTCGCCTAACAAAAATCTATCCACCTCAGTCTTGAAAATTTGAATGGATCCACCAGATTTCCACAAGCTTTGCATGAAAAAATGTGATCATTCCTAAATGGCCTAGCTCTAATTTTAAGATTATGCCCCCTTGTTCTGGATTTCCCCAGTGGAGAAAACAGTTTGTCTTTGGCCACCCTATCGAATCTCTTCATCATTTTAAACACTCGGCCGTGCGGTTAACTATCTGCAGCGGCAGGACTAAGTTGCTGAGGACACAGTTGGTAGGAGACGTACTTACCTTCCTGACAGACTTCAGTAACGGCCGGTATTATTTTCACTCTCCATGCTGTGTCCTCTCAGCCGCTGGCTCCTGCTGCTGCCTTGGGAGGACATTCACCAGGGAGGGAGTGGAAGTTGGAATGTTGGAAATGGTCTCGGGCCAGATAAAATCATCCACCAGGCTGGCCCACGCTGGAGGTGTCTCGCGGATGTTTCTCAAATCCGGCCTGCACCAACAACAACTTGGATTTATATAGCGCCCTCCACACCAGACGGCGTCCCAGAGCGCTTCACAGTAATGGATTCCGAGGCCGAGCGAGGGGGAGGAAGGTGACCAAAGGCACGGTTGAAGAGAAAGGTCTTCAGCTGAGACCTGAAAATAGGAAGAGAGGGGGCGAGGCGAAGGGAGTGAGGAAGGGAGTTCCATAGTCTTGGGACGTCGTGGCTGAAGGCCCAGCCGCCGATGGTGGAGCGGAGCATTCGGGGGACAAGGAGGAGGCCAGACCCGGTGGCAACCAAAAGGTTGGACCACCCTTGATTAATTAATGAAAAAATAACTGCTTAAAATTCTGTGCAATTCCTGATTATATCTAAGGTACTATTCTGTTAAGATTTTTTTTGCAATCCTTGTATTTGATATAGCACCTATAACTTTGCTGCCAGTTGTAGTGACTGTGCCCAAATTGGCTAGGTGAGCACCAACCAATTTGGGCACAGCAATGTCCCACACACAGCATGAAGTGAATGACCAGTTTTATCTGGGGGTTTGTTGATCAGGATCCCAGAAGAAAATCCCTTCTTTTACCATGGATAATGGTAATAGTGCCATGGATTCTTTAACATCCACTTGAAGCAAACAGAAACTCAGTTTAACATCACATCCAAAGTAAGGCACCTCTGACAATGCAGCCGTTTCCAAGCATTTGCACTGGAGCATCAGCCTAGATTGTTGGTGTAAATTAAGGTATTTTCCTTTCTTTGAGATCGATATGTTCAGTGTTGAGTTTGCATTCATTTCTTAGGGGTTTCCATATTTTACTGCTGCTTGATGACAACCAGCTATTATGTCCTCCACTGTAGTAAGTATTTGTCCAATATACTTTTCTGGATATAGCCTTTTTACTTCCACATTTCAGATCAAAGATCTGCCAAAATCTAACAAACTGCTGGAACAGGCTTAATGGCCACTTCTTGATTCCCATGGTGGCAGTAACCTGCTGAAGTGGCAACAGAAGGCAGAAAATGTATCTTTGTCACCAGGAAAAGCCATTTTGTATAAATGAATCTGTAATGAACCGCTGGCTGTTTTGGGGCCATTGGTCATCCCTGTGTAATACAGCAACAACAACTTGCTGTATTATACAGCACCTCATAGGGAAGGTGTCTCAGAGCACTTAACAGCAATGTGGCTTAACTCCGAGGCAGAAAGGGGAGTTGATGGTTGGAAGACATAGCGACAAACTTTCTTCCCAATAATGGATTGAAAGTGGTAATATTACACTATTGTTGAATGAAGGTAGCAGGTAAATAGAGTTTTCTCCCAAAGTTGGATAGATTGGGGGACATTTCTGTGATTGCAAGAGGTTCTTCAGCACAATTCAAAAAAAGCCATTCTTAACGTGATGGTAAGTCTCAGCTACAGGGAGCATCATGACTAATTCTAATCTTTAAATCAGTTTGCATTTTTTCACCCCAAAGGCACCAATTTGACATTGATTGATTCCAACTCATCAAGCAGCTGAACCAAGTAAAATTACACTGCCAGAAAATGTACATAAACATTTAATTTTACATGGTTGTAAAATGAGTCGGAAAATTTGGAACCTATAGTGAGGTTGATGGTTGAGTTAGCTTTGCTGACAACAACTGCCTCAGTTCATCTGTGAAGAATGATCTCTTGGGAAAGGTACCAATCAGCTTCTGATGCCCACTGAACAGTAAATTGTACAATGAATTATTGTCTTTAGAAGCAAACTAAATATAGAGCAGCTATTTGTTTGTAAATGCAGCCATCTGCCACATTTCACATTTGAATAGTTACGTTAAAAAAGTCCCAATTATTTGAAAAAAATGGGCTTGAAACGCCGACACTGAATTTAATTATACCATTTACATTGCCTGCAATTTACACATTAGAACAGATTGCAGTATACAGAGAATATAAATACTTTGAGAGCAGGGAAAGAAAATAGAAACTTTTTTAAAAAACACTGGCTATGCCCAAAGAAAAAAATCAATATTGTGCAGCATTTCATTGATTTGCCTCAGATGCCAATCATCCTGTGAGCACAGCCATGATGCACTTCTATGACTTGAGTCGTCAGTCTCATTAGTCAAGTCTCGGAATTGCATCATGGTTGAGCCCAATCCTGCCCACACCCACTGTTGCATACTTTTTCAGGGGTCTGTGATTTTTTTCTTCCACAGCCCACGGTCATCGAGGCCAATGGTAACACTGCAGCTAATTCAGCATGAACAATATTCAACTTACAAGCTCCCAGGTCAACTGCTCCACTTCACCCCAGCCTTTGAAGAGTTTTCCTTTGGTTTCAAATCTATTCTTCCACCCCCACCCCCCAAAAATGCAACTTGTTCTTAAAAACTTCAAAAACTTTTGTAAACGTTATGACACTTTCGTCAGCTTTTTCTTACGTTACAACTTGCATTTTATAAAGCTCTGAGGCACTCTGAGACACCGTCCGGCGTGGAGGGCGCTATATAAATCCAAATTGTTGTTGTAGTAAAGCACCCCTTACACAGCGTAGTGTCCCAGAACACTTAACAGTGGGGGAGCATGACTTCTCCGAGCCAGGGGGAGGGAGAGGTGAGCGTAACATGGTCAAATAGGAAGATTCTTCAGGCTCGACCTAAAAATGGGGAAGGAGCAAGGCAGAGGGATAGAAGAATGTTCCAGAGTTTTGGGGTGTAGTGACTGAAAGCACAGCCCCCCCCCCCCAATGGTGGAAGGTACGAGGGACATGCAGAAGGCCAGAGCCAGTCGAGCGGAGGCAGCGGGTTATGGGGTAAGCAGGTCAGAGAGGTAGGGAGGTGCCAGTCATGAAGGGATTTGAAAACGAGTGTGATGAACTTGAAATTTACCCGTTCGGTGATGGGGAGCCAGCGGAGTTTGGCTGGAACTGGTGCGATGGATGTTAATACTAAAATCCAAATTGCTTGCGTCACATAAATAATGAGAAATACACAGATACACGTACCATTCTAATGCCAACGGAGTCACTAATACGAGAGAACTAGCCTACACAAAATTTATTTATACCTTAAAAATACATGAAGCGTTGCCCTAAGTTCCTTCAGTTAGACATTTTGACTGATAAAGCTCATTGAAACAGATACTTTTAGAGAAAAAAAAACCCCTAATCAACCAAGTCACCCAGAATATAATCTTAAAGATTCAAGGTTTAGAGAAACCTGCTACTCTCAAAGCTCAGTACATTTTCAGTCTCTAAGAACATTCCTTGTCTTCATTTTCATCGCTCTGTTTATGGTATATACTCTGGTTACGTCTCTTAATGACTTTAATTTTGCTGCTTCCGTTTTCATGCTCATTACTTATTCGTTTGAGAGATTTGGTGCATGTGCCCTTTCCTTCACCTTCTGTCAGGCTGCTGTCCCCAGATCGGTCCAGTTCCTCAGTCGCTGAATCTTGTGTCTCGTCAGATGACACCATCATGGAATCAGGGAGATCTCGCACATCAGAGAAATTTGCTGATGAGTCTGTGAAGGGATGATCTGGTGACGGCTCTATTGAATGAGTGCTGAGCTCCCCATTGTCGTCATCTTCATCATCCAGCGTTATTTCATCTGGATTTATGGAAGAAGAAAGTCCAGAAGTATCTGTGGTATAATCACTGGGTTCCTCTGGATTATCAGCACTGTCAATATCATCCTCTTCTTCTCCCTCCAGAAGACCTTCATCTTCCATCTGTTTCACTTTGGCATTCAGATCAGTAAGTCCTAAAGTGGCACAGAACTCTGTTGTCTGAGGGTTGATCATGTGGACTGGTTCTCTTGATCGCTGTGGGTTTGCTGGATCATACATGGGTACTGTGGGGCTGAAGTTGATGGGAATTTGGATGTCATGACTAAACTCTTCCAATGCTTCTTTAATGTCTTCTTCAGACACATTGTAATCCCACCTAAATCAGAACAAAAATACAATACAAAATCAATCTTTTAAAAGGTAATTTAACTATCAAAAGCAAGAATCCATCACATAATGTACAGTATTTAAGTTTGCCATTTCACGATATGCCTTCACTTTGACAGGTTTTTAAACTTCACTTTTTTTCACCTTAAGAGACTGCATTAACTATACGGCTTATTTCACCCATTTTTTCCTCTCCTCTTCTGGCGGCTTTTACTCTCTAGGAGTCCTGTGGCTCAGTGGTTAGAGCACTCGCTTTGCAAGCGAGAGACCGGAGTTCAATTCCAGGCAGATCAGGGCGAAACCTTGGGCAAGTTTCCTTACTCCACACGCCTAATAATAATCCCTCCAAAAACCAAAAACAATAATAAATTGGTCATTTTCAATCTACGACTCTTTGTGGGACATTGCTGTGCGCAATTGGCTGCCACGTTCGCCCACAAAAGAATACAGTCAATTCACTTTACAGTGTGTTCTGTGAAGCGCTTTGGGATGTCCTCCCGACGTGAAAAGCGCTATATCAAATGCAAGGATTATTATTATTATAACAGCCCCACAGGTGCCAGTAACCCTCCAGTACCTGACACGCGTGACTCTTCTTAATGTTGAGCCTGCAACCCAAACCTTTGTAACCCAAATCAGTTGGCAATTTTGGCAGGATGAGAAGCTTTACAATCATGTGAGCATTCTAGCTCAGTGTGTTCCATGTTCATTTACCCGATGTTCACAAACATACACTTTCCAACAGTAGTAATTTAATAGCATTAGAAGTGATGATGTTGCTCCTCTCTAATATTGTGATGCAGCCTTACTGTGAGTAAAATGGCACAGGAAGTACATAAACCCATGTAACTTGCACCAATCTTAGGTTTTTGATGTTTTACTAGGTAAAGGTACTACTAAACGTAAGCACTAAGCTACACAGACACTGAAGATTGCAGGGTTAAATCCCTTGTTTGTTGTTTGCTGATATTTCTTGAGTTAGGTGAGCTCAGAGAGAGAACAGAAACCCAATGAACTATTTTGATGTGGAAATTTACAATTCTATCCCAAAAGGCTGCATTATGGAAAAAAAAGATAACACGTCCTACTCTCGTGAGAGTAAATAAAACCTTTGAAACCCAAATCAGTTGCAATTTGGATTGGTTTGGGACAAAGAAAGGATTCGTACTAGCTTGCTCGAGTACTCAAATAAACCAGCTTCAACATATCTCTATCTTGAAACTGGTAAGAATGTTAGCGATCTCAATTTGGTACTGAGTCTTATTTTAAATGGAGAACCCATGAAACTGAATATGGTATTTAGCAGAGTAGAAAATGATTAAATTGTAACATCAATTCATAAATATCGTTTTTTGTAATTCATCGATTGAGGACATTGTTCTGTGGCTTCACTACCAAACAGCAAAGAAACAGTTTTGACTATTTCTTAAAATCTGGTTACATCAACAGTTGTAGTTTCATGAACTTGTAAATTGACACAAACTACACAACGGTAAAATTTATTTTTTTAAAAAACAGGCTCAGTGTTTCCCCATCATATGAATCAGTGCCGCCATAGAACCACAGAAATGTAAAGCACAGAAGGCCATTTGTCTAATCATATCTAAGCCAGCTCTGTCAAGAACAATCCTTTCACTTACCTGCACTTTCTCCATATCCTTCATAGTTGACTTAAACAGATTACCACCTGGAATATACTATGTTAAACTGCCAACAACAACTTAAATGTGAATTGCCACTAATGTAAAACCTACAGATCTAGCATCATTGTGAAGCTAAAATTGTACCATCAGTTCTAGTCTCTTTCCCCTGTAAAATGGTTAAGAGTAATTCTCCTGCATTGATGCAGAGTACACACAGGAGCTCCTATGTAACAAATCAAGTAGACGGGATAGCAGGTTTAGCAGTGCTTAAACACAATGCTCATCAGACTCAAGGAACCAGTAAAATAACTACCTGTTTATATGGTTCAATATGTCAGAAGAAAATACTGTTCAAAACTTGTAAATGTTGAATATCTGCAGTATTTAACCCACTGCTTCTACATATATTGTCTTTGGGATTCTAACTATTACACATCAAGATCCACAACATCCAATACAAGCTTCCATACAAAGACATTTGGAAAATCTTGGAATTTTATGAAAAAAAATCCTTGGGCATGAGGTGGGGAAAAAATAAGTTTGCCATTCAGACAGAGAAAAGTCAATTGGAGAATATTGAGTCACACTATGTACTGTTCCTATTTGGTCACTATCTCAAATCTTTAGATAGAAAGCCTTTAAGATAACACGCGTTGCCCAATTTTTCCACAATGCACTTATTTAATAACAGGAAGTTGTTGCTGGGACTTACTTTGTGTGCAGGCCATTATTTTCTGGCATGTTCCATGTTTTAGGTGTGACATTAATCAAATGATTTGTTGCTTTTAGAATGGCCAGCCATTCAGGATCGTACTCAAGATGGTCAGAAGCATTTGGATCGTGCTCGATTTCCACTATCTAAATTCAGAGCGAGAACAAAAGTTGCAGAAAAATTCAAAGATGCCAATGCAGATTACTTTCACCAAACTTATACACTCTGCTAAAACCATTAAAAACATTAAAGGACATTGAAACAAATAATTCGCTTTTCAATCTTTTCAGATAAAGATTTAGGAAGTCTTACTGTGCAACTATTCTGCATCGTGAATCTACCCCATGAACAACATTTTTCTATATTTTTGCCATGCTTTAATCTGCTAAATGAAGATTCAAAACATTAAACGGTGTTTGTGTATATCAAGTGTTATAGCAATACAATACTTCTGACCTGCAGAAAGTCTCTGTGAGGGAGACACTTGTCCAGAGCTAGAAATTTTGTTGCTTTAGGTAGCTGCTCACCAGCAGTTTTCTGTAAAATAGAAAAAAGTGTGAAAAGGATCCTTCTTGTTAAAAACTAGTCTTGCCAGTAAGTACATATACTCCCCACAAGATCATTGTGTAATGGTTTTATGAAACGTTCAGAAAAAAAATGGATGAATCTAGTACGTTTCCTTCTCTTACCGGATGCTGCATTAGGGCTGCAAACTTCACATGGAGATGCGCTGCAAACCAATAAGAAGGTTTGAGATGGTGTAGAAGCTCTGTAGCTGCAGGACTCCCTAAGGTGTTGGCCTCCACTTCCGAGCGCAAAAAGTTCTTCTTTTTAAGGAGCTGGTTTTTGTTACCATAGTGATAGATACCCCGTGGCCAGTCATGTGACAGGAAAATATCCATGTGCTGTTTTAGCTAAATCAAAGAGAGTATAAACATTGTTGATACACTTGTCATTATGGAAGTTGAGACATGAGCAACAGTAAAAGCTGAAAAACTAGGAAAAAGTGAAACTGGATTGCAGTAGAATTACAGTCGACAAGTCAACAACATGTAGCAGTTATTCTCTCACCTGCTTTAGTTTGAACACTTCTATATTTCTGACATGATACGCGCTCCGGACTGTCTGCGGATTATATGGTGGATACTCAAAATGACCTAAAGTAATTAAATCAGAGAAATGTTTGAATGCGACAGAACCAACTGAAGTACAATTGGTTTTCAATACTGAAAAATACGTTCTTTTCAATACGGCACGGATTCACCATTTATAAAACTGAAAATGTTTGCAGCAATGGGCTTCTGAAGTTGAGCCATGTACTCATCCCATTCCGGTACTATAGTAATAAGGATCCAATGAAAGGGGGAAATCCAACCTTTAATTCCCAGTCTTAATCATGATTGGGGCAGATCCCAGTAGTTTCACAAAACCCAGTTGATTTTGAATGCTTTGTATATTAAGATATTTGTACTAAAATCACAGGATAAATTCAGGCCAAAAATCATATCATATTAAATTTGCCTCCAGGAAAGCCCAGGTGACTTGATGATGCTGAACTGGTGCATCAATTCCTGTATAAAAACAGCAGCCAGTCCAAGAAGAACAAAAACATCTTGCATTTATATAGCGCCCCTCACGTAGGCTAGCGCCCCAGAGCGCTGCAAATGCACAGTGAAAAAACTAGCTGACAACATAAATTTACCTCCCTCTGGAGACAACACACTTACCTTTTTTGTAGTCGTGCGGTTTAAAAATACCAGAAAGGCCCCCTATGCGTGCACCGCGGTACTTCACTACACCAGCATAACCTGGAACACAATGACAAGCCCATTAAGTTTTTTAAGCAGCAATTAATCACATGGTTTCCGTCATATTCAGACACAGAGCCCCTTTTCTAAAAAAAAAGTTGGGTTCATGACGCCCTTAAAACTGCATTAGCTCCCACGATTTCATTAGGCCCCCACTCGTGAATGCCCCCTATTACAAATGCAATCAATCTCAGACAGATTGACAGGTAACCTTATAACAAGCCAATATATGCAAATAGTTGGAATCTTAACTTCAGAAGGAACCCGATCAAACTTACTATTTAATTTTGGAGGATCATAAAGCGTATACATTTGCAGAAATGACAACTGCAGGATATAACAAATTTGTTTCAAATTCATAAAAGTACTGCTTACGTTATTCAAAAGAAAGCACATTCTGGTAGAACACACAGAATTTGGTCAAGTAAAGTATTTGAATTCAATCAGACAAATCCCTTAGGGTTGAAGTGTATAGCATTTGTAAAACACAAAAGAAAGTTTGGGTTTTTAAAAAGATTGACTTGGTTTATACCGAGATAGTATATGTTTGGTGCAACCCATCCTCCATACTGTAGTTCCTGTAAATGATTAGAGGCTTCATGATTGCCTCCTATGAAGATGGTGAGAACAGGGGCTTTCTTCTCTCCAGAATAATACCTGTGTGAAACAATTAAACAACTTTACAAACAGTACACTGAATACAAAGTAATCCAAAATTTATGGACTAGCTATAATATTTACTCTTCAACACAAATTTACTCCTCAACATAGCATAAAGTAAGAAAAAAAATCCTCGCAACAGCGAGCACTTAAACAGTATCTGAGTAGGAGTCCATGTTAATTTATAAACAAATAGTGAGATTTAAGGCTAGAAAGGAACAAGAAAATTGAAATGACGATGTGACAAAACGACCTTGAATGCCTACTTACTTGTAGAAAGTTTGCATTTGCCTGTATTTAGGGGGTACAGCCATACATTTCAGGTCTGCTTCATTCCTGACTGCTTGAAAATCTCCACAGCACAACAAGAGGTCCACCTTAACATTGTCCTTTTTCTCCAAAAATTGAATACTTTCATAGATTTTGTCCAGTTCACCATGGCAACAACCTTCTACTGCTACCTTCATTGTAAAAGTGTGCAACAGCGTGCACTAAGTTCCAATGAGCTTGGTGTCTTTATGAGAAATCTCCCTTCCTGGGTGTTATTTAAGCACCTTCATGTCTCAATGTACCACTCAATTAAACTACCATAGACTCTGAAATTAAAAAAGGCAATATTTATCAATTAAATTATGCTTATAGGAATATACAAAATATAGCTTCATCTCTTATTCTCAATGAAAAGTCTATCAGTGATTAATATGCAAATACAAAAATATAAAAACTATTTAAAAAATTAGCACTTATGATAATTGTAATAAAGTACATGGAAGTGACTCCTGTTGTTAAGTCTGGATTCTCATCAAAATCAATGCCTTGAAAACTTAAGCGTTGCTTGCAGAATGTTAGTAATTGCTTGCATTTATGGGTACAGCCAAATAGCATCGCAAAATCAAGCTGTAACTGTTAATTTAAAAGATGGATCCAAAACATATACATTAAAAATCCTGGTAAATGACCACCATAAAGTAACTATGTAAGTATACTTCATCATGATACCAACATCACCATGTATACTGAAACAAAATGCTAGGAAATAAATCCTAGAAATGAAGAAAACACAAAAGCGTAACTTACAATATTTTTATAGGAATATAAACCTCCTCAGTGATGAAAGACATGTAGAAATAGATCTTCCTTAATTACCTCAGACCACAGTAAACTAAAATACACTGTGGTAACACAGACTCAGAAATTGCTTCAATACAGTGTCTCAAATAGTAACATTAGTTATTTTAGATCTATTATTCTGAGTGTTTATTTAGTTTGCAATTTTGAATATCAACTCATTTTGGGCCCTTTCATAAGTACAGTAGATGTTAATTCTGACTTTAATCAACAGAAACGTAATCTGGTGTCTTACTTTGAACATTTTAGATTTTGCCATTTCTTCACAAAAGCAGGAAACACTGAACCAGGACAAAAACGTAAGAGTGGAAGAGTGTCGGTGCAAACCCAAAACCCAAAACAATAATAAAAAAAATTGGTCATTTTCAACCTACGACCGTTTGTGGGACATTGCTGTGCGCAATCGGCTGCCGCGTTCGCCCACAAACATACAGTCAATTCACTTTACACTGCGTTCTGTGAAGCGCTTTGGGACGTCCTCCCGACGTGAAAAGCGCTGTATCAAACACGAGGATTATTATTATTATTGAGTCAGCACCGAGAAATATTGATATATTTTTAAAAACAAACAAACAAAACCTATTAGCCAGACAGTGTTTTATGCAATAATTCATTTTAAACCCATCAGAGACAAATAAACGCCTGTAATTAGGAGTCTGTGCTAATTCTACCATTCTCTGCCTGGCCTGGGGTGGAAGGGGACAGACAGATCGGGCCGAGCGGATGAAGGCAACGACCTCCTCCCCCCCCCCAACACACCACCACCCACCCCCTTGATCAGAGGCCTTTCCGAGGGCCAGGCCCTGGAGCGCGGTAACGGGTCCGCACTCGCTGAGAGAGAGGAGTGAGAGAGCGGAGGCGTCTCGTTCGTTTTCTGGGCCCGACGGTTCCTTTTACCTGTGCGATGTCTGGGGCCGAGCTGTGGGCTGTGCTGTGCTGTGAGGGGGAGGGAGAGGGGCGGCGGCGGAGCTCAGGCCGCGGGACACCAACTGACCAACTGCCGCCCTCGACGCATGCGCCCCACCGCGCCTTCAGGTAAACAAAAAATGCGTGAGTTTTTTTTCTTAACATTCGCCACGGTCGACCAAAGGAGAGGAAAATGTCACGTTGATTTTTTTTCTCGTCCGCCCGCCCGCCCGGGCTTTTTTTTATATATATATAAAAGCGTGTGTTTTTTTTTAAAAAAAAAGAAAAATTTTAAAACTTCAAGACGTTCACCTTCGAAGCGGATTGACAATCTGACGAATCAACACCGACGCGGCGGGCGCGGTGCCGTCGTTGGATGAGGTAAAAAAAAATAATTAAGTCATCTTCCAAATCGCACTTTCGATAGTTCGGGGGTCGAGCACGGAGTGGCGGGAGGGAAAAAGCGGAGGGGAGCAGCAAGAAAAATAAATGAGTGGTTAAAGCGAAACGGCGCGTCTGCCGTCGGTTCCGTTCAAACCGATAATCGCTCTCGTTCTTTTTATTTTTTTTAAAAAAAGAAAAGTATATATATAGAGAGAGAGAGAGTGAGAGAGATTTTGAGACCGCGGCGCTGGCCGCGTGGAAAGTGCGGCGCGGAGCCTGGGTTTGCGGGAAGGGCCGGGCCGGGCGGCTGAAGATGGCGTGTTTGCTGGAGGCTCCGATGCGGATGAGTGTCCTCTCGGTGAGTAACCCGCCAGGCGGCACCTCTCGCCGCCACACCCACCGCGGCCGCGACCAGCGCCTCCTTCCCTCCTTCCCTCCCTCCCCCCCCCCCAAAAAAAAAAAACCCCCACACCGCGGGAGGATGTGAGGGAGGGATGGAGGGAAGGAAAGGAAAGGCGGGAGGGAGGGACCGTGTACCCGACCCCGCGCCTCCGCTGTTGTTTTAATTGCCCCCTTTGCTCCGGGATTATCGCTCGCAGCCCCGGTCTGGGGCCCTGGTGTGAGTTATTGACAGTCACCTCTCTCTCTCTCTCTCTCTCCCTCCTCCGTTGTCGAGCGCTGCGCGGGTCTCAGTGTCAGTGAGAGGTCAGATAATTAACTGCCCAGGTCCGGGCTTCAGTTGCTGTGACTTGTCTGCATGTTGCCAGTCCCTCTCCCGCTTAATTACTACAGTGGGATTCAACTGCTTTAATCCTTCGTTACCGTGGAAGCGTTTTTTGTTTTTTCCTTTTTTTTCTCTTTTTCTTCTCAAAAAAAAATCCTGTGCGTCTGTCTGCTGTCTGTTGTAAACTGGAGTGGACAGTAGCCCACTCGCCCAAGTCACTGCGGATCTACCTTCACACAGAGCATTTACAGCGACTCCTGAAAGGAATACGATTTCGGCACCAATGTTAGACAAGTACATGTCGTAGCTTCGCCTGTTTCTCCTCTCTCTCCCCCCCCCACCACCACCACCCCACCACCGACACGCCGTGACTATTAGATATCGTGTACGTCTGCGGGAGGGGGAGTAGAATTTTTTTGGATTGTCGGCCTTTTGAAAAAAGTTCAAGGCGTTTTGTTATCCGACTAAACAGCAGCAGCAGCAGCAACAAATTACATTTTTGTGTATCGCCTTTCACGTCAGGAGGACGTCCCAAGGCGCTCGAAGAACCCAATGGACTTGTAAAACTGGACTGAGATACAATTTGAGACTAAATTTGCATTGAAACAGCTATTTTTTTATCCTTGTTTGAACTATGAGTAAGTCATGGGTCATATTGAGCTTTTTGACTTTTGTGACTTTTAACCAGTTAGCTTTCAGTGTTTGAAATGCCTTATCATTGCCATGAAATTCCAGTGTTGATGTAGGCTGTAATTTAAATTATTCCACTTCACATCGGCTTCAGTGGGAGCAGACTAAGCAATTCCATTTGTAAAGTATTAGCAAACATTTTATTTTTTTCCCGCTTGATGCCACAACAAGGAGCCCTTTTTTGATCTGCTGTACATGCAAACCCATTGCCGTGCTTAAGAGTAGCCAAACCAGACTCCCGAGTTCTAGAGATGTATGGAAATTTCTCTTTTCTGAAATGGAGCGTTCATGCTTTTCTTGGAGGAATGCACCCCACTTATTGAGTCCCAGAAATTAGTTGTTGCAGATCGGCAAGATTCAAGGTTTGGAAACACTAGAGTGTGATTACCAGGTAAAACCACCTAGGTTTCCATAATAAACTTTAAAATAATCCGAAAGCCGATTTACAATAATAATTTTGTGAGTCTCTGGGCTACTTAATTCTCAAAGTTGCAAACAATCTAACGGCACCTTTTGAAACTGCAGTTAGCTGTCATCACCCCCATTTTATTGTTTTATTTGTGAATAAAGGCCATTTTATACTTTTGTCATCCTTTGAAGATGCAATAATAATTTGCTCTGATACCAAGAAGCCATTCTTCCTGAGCTTGGTCAGGATCAGCAAGGATGAAGGAGGTGGTTTCAGTTGAACATTGATCCTGTCTGCACCCACTGTCCAAATATGTACTTTCCAACAGGGCTACTGAATCATGATTGTGAGTGGGGATATTGGTTAATGTTTTTCTCTCGTTATACCTCCTAATCCAAGGACAGTGAAGGTTTTGAGATCCACTAATTCATCACAGAGCAGGGCTCAAATCTCCATCTTTCCTTGGCTCAGTACTAAATTATGTAGTGTATTTACCCACTGGGTCATCAGGAAAGTCCCAGAAAACTTGAAATATTAACTTAGTTGAATTTTATTGTGCTCATTTTTTGGCGTTTAAGACTTTATTGATCTTAAATGTAAACGTCAGTAATGTTTGGATGTAGTTTTTCTGATTGCAATCCAGCACAGCAAATAATACAACCTTATTCACTGTCTGTTAAGTTTAACTTCTTTGCGTAACCTGCAAATTTCATGGAAAATTGGATGTCTCCAACCAACATTAATCTAAATGGGTTGGATAGTTGATCAATTCATTAAAGGATATGTATTTGAATTAAACTATACTGCAGTATTCTGTTACGTCACTTATTATCTCATCTGAAATCCATGTTTGTTACACAACCTTTGATGCCTAGCGCACATTTGGGAAGTTTTATGGGAAGGATGTGTGACTGATCAAAGGCTGTTACAGATTTTAATTGAATAACAAGTTTAGCCACTTCTTCTTCTCCTGGGGTAGATGGTGGAATAGTGTTATCAAATGCTGATTTCCAAATCCTATTTTTGAAACTTGACTTCATCACCAGTTTAGAAATTCCAGAACATTTTCATGGTTTGCACAACTTAAACACTATGTTGAAAGACTTGTGGCAATGTGGATGGAGTGGTAGGTCACAGGTTAGTAGGTCACAGGTTAGGCTCTGGAACTCCCTTCGCCTCGCTCCCTGCCTTCCTATTTTCAGGTCTCTGCTGAAGACCTTTCTTTTCAACCGTGCCTTCAGTCACCTTCCTCCCCCTCCCCCTGGCTCAGCCTCAGGATCCGTTACTGTGAAGCGCTCTGAGACGCCGTCCGGCGTGGAGGACGCTATATAAATCCAAGTTGTTGTTGTTAGTAGCACAGTAGTCCCTTTATTTCCCTTTTTTCTTCACATCCCTCCCCCCAACCTGGTCAATTACAGTGTTAGGCAATGGAAATAGGCAGGGGTACAGCCGCAGAGAAGCAAGAATAGGAAGGAGGTGCTTCTTCAATGTGAATACCTGGCATTCTCATGCAATTCAAAGGCCAGCCTTTTTAATTCACAGCAAAAAAGCACTTCTATTTTGGGTTGTTTGACACACCTAGCACAATGCTTACCAGTATCTAAATCAGATTGAGATGTTCTCATGTATATTCCATCTAGGCATGGAAATTTTTCTGTGCCTGGACCGGGATTTGTAAATCTTTTTATAGTCAAATTTAAAAAAAAAGACTTTTGAGCTGACATTCCAGTTGGTGTTCTACACATCATCTTTGGTGTTATCAGCTGATAATGGAAATTCCCCCCATTATAGTGAGGCTGACCACAATTTTAGCCCATTTGTGTTTCTGACTTTCTTCCTCTTAACTCTCTGCCTCTAATTCTACTCTGTGCCTGTGAAAACGAACTTGCCTCACTACTGTTTCACAGTCGCCTAAAAGTGCATACAGACCTATATAGAACATATGCACATATAGAAACCTTTTGCTTCCTAACATTACAGAGTGAACTTCAGGTCCACTTCTCTGCATCGATTCTAAGATATCCTGAGTTTGGAGGTTCATTTTAATGAAGAATTCTTAGAATCAAGTAAATACACCAATATTGAGGCCTCAACATGCAGAAAGACATGAACATTTACTTAAATTGCAAGACTGATTACAGTTTATAAGTTGCCTTTATTGAGGCCTAGTCTGGATGTCTCTGTATATTGTGCTGACTCAATGGTCCTGATGTGAACTTGGATTTGAGGTCAGATTACTTTGTGTCAGGGTCCCTTTAAGCACCATTTATCCTTTCTCCCTGCATCCAGTCTATCCCATCTTTCAATTGGTGGTAGTAAATGATTGTTTTCACATTTTCAACTATAGAGAGAAATTTGGTGTAGTTTTGCAGTTATAGCACCAAAGGAGTAATAGATAAAATCTGCTGCCATTGCCCTTCTAATGATCTGCTGTTTGAATGAAGTCATGCACAAAATTAGAGACTATAGACCTGACTCTGATCTGCTTGCTTAGCTATTTCAATTGTGGCAAACACCATTCAGTTGGGTGCATGAATTTAAGACATCTGAATGCTGGATAGGATTCTAAGGTGGGATGGTTATAGATGTTTGTGAAGTGCAGATTTTGCTCCTTGGAGTAACATTGGAGTACTTGATCACTTACAGGTATGTTGATGCATTTAAACAACTGACTTCTATGAAGATCTACTAATTTCTTTTTTTATATTACAATTTGACTATTGGGTTAAGGATGAAACTGTTTATACATTTAAAATTTCAAGGTGTTTCTAAGCTACTTCATTACTGTGGGGCCGGGGGTTGATCACAATATATAGCCCTATTGTTTCTTTTGTAATCTTGATCCTGTGTTTGCATTAGCATGTGGCTGCTTAATTGAGGTGTGCAATTTATTTAAATCGAGAACCTATTTGTTCTGAAGACTGCTGTATCAGTGTGAAAACGTATTGGCTTTATAACGCATTGATGGTTTTATGAGGGCACCAGAGGAGAGACGGAATTTAGCGTGACTAGGATTCCCATGTTTTCCCCCAATGTTTTCTGTGTTTTCAATTTGACTGTTTTCTGTTCTCCACTGCGTACAGTTAGATACACAATGGTAAAAACACTGCCAACTGTGCTGTTCAGTAACCTTTTTGAAACTATGGATCATGTATTTTGTGTTACCAGTTACTAGAAAAGCTCATTTTGGCCTTGTGGTGATCAATGTCGCTTAAGCCTGCAATCTCGTGATCTACAGAACAGCAAAATGACAGAACTCTTGAGTATAAAAGTGGAGGTAAGGAAAAGGAGTTGGTGAAATAGACCAGTAACCATATGGTGGGAGTGTGCCTGAGTTAATTTATGCAGCACTTCAGACAGTAGAGCCCTTCTTTTCAGTGGATGTTTTAAGCTTGTGTCAATGTAATAACTTGCTGATACTTAAATGCACTATTATTGCCACTGAATAATACAACTTAAGAGGGGACATTATTTCCTTGAGTTACGCACATGTTAAACGTTTTAATGGCTCAATTCACCTGTTTAATACAATGGAAAGATGGATTGTAATATTGGTGGAGTGACAGATGGGAGCATTTGTGATGGATAAATACTAGATATCGAGAAGGAGCAGTTCAGTTGCTTGGGAACATTGGTTAGTAACATGATTTTTTTTATACTAGAGGAATACAGAGCCAGAGTCGGGTTGATCATTTAAAAAGCAGCTTGATGCTGTAGTGGGAGGGGAGCGGGTGGTTATTCTGGAAGGATGAGATTGTGTGGACTAAAGGGCCTACTTCATCCAAACCTCTATTGTGATCTCTTGGGAGGAATCTTTATTGCTTAGATACAGGGACAGGAAGTATTCTAGTAAAGCATTTCTTAACAGAGGGACACTGTGAGCTGGACCAGGGTCCAAAGGAATTATTACCAGTTAGTAATAGGGATAGGAAGCATTACAATTATGCCTTTTGTGCTAATAGGTTTTGGTAGCTTGCAGAAAACATGGTAAGCTCTTGTTTTACTTATTACATATATGATCTGTGTATTGGGTTCTTATGTTAAATCATGTAGAATTTGAGGTTCTGTAATGTGGAAAATAGACAGAGAATTTAAGTAGCATAGCATTTGCCAGGGAAGTTATTGTTAATATGAGTCATCAAGAAGTTGAATAAGCAGAACCACATTGAATTAGAACAAACTGTATTGTGTTTAATTCAGCTAAAGCTACTAGAGAGGGTTTCAGGGTAAGACATGTTTCCATGGTTAGAAGACATCATGCCCAGAAAACCGGACTCTTTGAAACTGGTTTGAAATAGATTTGCTAATTTGCTATAAAAATCCAGAACTAATTTATCAGCCATCCAAGGCCATTGAGGGTTGTCAGAAAGAACATTGTAAACAATTATGTTACAGAAAACTATCTTGTTGTACAACAGAAGGAGATACTTGGCTTATTTTCATGCACATGTATCCAATATACTGCTGTGCCTTGATACAATGTTATTGTTAGGAGCGGAGGGAAAGCAACATTTATGTGGATGTGCTCTTGTATACTCCAGGCCCAGCCAGTGATGAAAAAGTTATAGTAAGTAATGAACTCTGTATGCTGTGTATCCACATTTTTCTGGATGTAGCATTATTTTAGTCCACTGAACAAGAGTTTGGGGATTCCATATATTGATAAACATACATTACGTTTGTTTTCAAGATTCAAGAATTATGTTGTGTTTTGATGAAAACGTGTGGGTTGTGTTCTGCTGTTTGGTGACTGGCTGTTTTATTGTGCACAGAATGTATGTGGATAAGTCAGGATCACATACTTCTCCAACTGTGGCTCCCTTGAAGATCATCTCACCACCTCCTGACCTGGCACTAAAGGAAATCCTTTTTCTTTAGTCCATCAGTCTTCTGTTGAGGTTTCTCTCCAGCCTTCTGGAGATATAGTCGCTGCTGCCAGGCCCTACAGTGCTCTAAACTCAAAATACTGCAGATGCTGGAAATCTGTGAAACAAAAGCAGAAGTTGCTGGGAACACTCAGCAGGCCAGGCAGCATCTATGAAAAAAGGAAAGTGAGTCAACGTTTTGGGTCCTCGACTCTTCACCAGAACTGGGGCATGTTCCAGTTCTGCCCCAGTTCTAATGAAGGGTCATGGACCCGAAACATTGACTAATTTTCCTTTCTCCATAGATGCTGCCTGGCCTGCTGAGTGTTCCCAGCGACATCTGTTTTTGTCTACAGTGCTCTGCCTTCCTGGGTGTCCCAGCCATTGGCTTCACTCAGGGTTATCCCAATTGGCTGAGTTCTTGACTGATATCTGAGGTAGCCACTAAAGGACACTTGCCTCCATAATTGGTACTTGCTCAGACTGAAAGTGTCCCGGCTGCAGACTTCTGGTGTCGGGCTTCGGTGAGGCAGTTTTTTAATCTGGGTTTCCTTTGCAAAAGAAACTTGTTTTCAATGAAAACACAGAATATCAACTGAACTTTGGGTTGAGCAGTATGGCATTCATTGAATCACTATAGCATTGAGAAGCACTGAATACAAGAGTGAGCATGTTGAATTTTCAGCATTAAAAACCCAGGGAATTTGAGCATCCATTTATAGCCAATTTAATACATTTCCTTAACATCTTCCCTGCTCATGCTATCTTTGACCAAATGTTTTCTTAAATTATTAATAATGGAAAGTCTTAACCAGTGATGCCACTATATTGCTGCATGTTTGGGATGTCCAATGAATGATCCATTAGCAGGAAAGCTATTACCCAAATTGGATTACTTGACTATAATAGCGAAGAAAACCTGGATAACTTTCTTCTGAGGCAAGAGTCCTACCACCTAACTAGAACAAGTTTTCTTCATTCTTTTTGTTTTTTATTTCCGCTTCTACTAGTAGATTTATTCTGGATCTGTAATATAATCTTGGTGTTTGCGTGCTGATAATAAACTAGATTATTTCTTTTTTTGGGTTGTCATTTACACATCTGATTGAGTCAGGTTTCCATTTTTATTATTCCCACAGTTGTCCGTGTAAAGGCAAAAAGTATTTACATTACATAGTGGATCTGAAATGCTTCAAACACTTAAAATATTGAGTGTCAATTTAGAATAGCCATCTATGTCTTCAGTTGGTTTATTGAAAAAATGTGAGAGGTGTTAACATAGTTTGTAATAGCAGTGATGATAATATGCTTTGTGGTGATCACTTGGGATGTCCTCCTGACATAAAGGTGCTATAGAAATGTAATTTATTGTTGTTGGATATTGGGTTTAAAAATGCAGTGAAGTGGTCAAGGATAGTATTGTGACAAGGTTAAGAGACTGGATTGTAGCAGGGATCAAACCAGATTCTGGGAGTCAGAAGCAGAAAATAAGTCAGTTGAAGGTAAAATAGAGAATACTGATGAATGGAATAACTAAATTAAGTCGTAGGGGTTGTCTGCAAAAACCTGGTGAATTTCTGGGCTCAAATCTGCAAATGATAGTCGAAGAACAGGAATTGAATAAGTAATGGCTGATTTTTGCTTGTATTATAAATAACACAATGGATCTTTACAGGAAAAAATGACATTTGCTGGGAAATATTTGAACAGCAGCTTGTGTAAGAAGAAAGCATCGGAAGTAAATTGCTTTTGGTTGTACCAAATATTGAAAATGTGAAAGTATAGGAATACCAGCTAAAATAATAGGAGCGGGAACTATGTGACGGCAAAGCTAATTTAAATGGCATGATGACATATCGGTTTCCATGAATCATTCTAGCCCATGCACTGAAAAATACGTCTGCACTATCGCACTCTTAGACAGGTAGATCAATTGGATGATGTACAATTGGAACATTGCTAATCTTTAATGCTGTTCCTGTAATGCTGGTATAACTTCTCATATAAAAAGTTTAAAAATAAACTTTTTTGCCTGCTGTGTGAACAGAAGGACCCCACAGTCAGCATTTATCCAATGAGCTGACGTATCTGACTTGACACAGTGAATACATATGTAATCTTGCTCATGTAATATTGGATAAACTGTATTCAAATGGATCCCAACATTCATCCTTTATGGAGTTAAAAGTCTGCATACATCTTTAGAGTCCCCTTGTCTATACTTATTGTTATATTGTACACTAGAGCAAAAATATCATTGATGGGAATTAAATATTTGGTTTGGAAACGCAATCACTCCATAATATGCCGTTTGTAATGTACTATGTAGTCCTGTGCATTATATTTCAAAAGATATTATGGAGCAATGTGTGGCTGAGGGTTTTACTAGAGGAAAAGTAGAACCTGCTTTGATTTTAATGGCTGACATCTTTGGCCACTATCTAAATCAATTTGGATGTCCATGATAGTTAAAATTCTTGTACATTGCAGAATAAGTACAAAGTAGAATGGGAAAACATGGGGGTTTATTTGAAAATAGAATCTTGGATACATAAATGATGGTGTCATTTTCGTAGGTATTCTTGTCGATGAGTTTTTCAAGTGACACTGGCATTTGTTCTTAATGAAAGGCAAAAAGATTAGTGTGTGTGATTAGTGTGGGTGGGAAGGGGGAGAAATGAGAGGTCCTTTAAACCGGCCTCTTGTATTAATGGTTTTGCTGCTCATATTTCCAACAATTTTTATTTTTTTATTTTTAGGAAGTTACAGCCAGCAGTCGTCACTATGTCGACAGGCTATTTGATCCTGACCCCCAGAAAGTTCTACAAGGTGTCATGTAAGTACTGTTTTAGGATGAGGATGCTGCATTCTCCACTTCTGGTTACTTTATTAACTGAATTCACAAATCATCTACACATAAACTGATGCCAGCTAAACCGTCTGAAGTTACATTAATGAAAGATCAAAACATTTCCTATTTTTACATTCTTGGACTGGAGCATTTGTCTAAGCTGCAAGAACAACAATTAACATTTGGATTGCGCCTATTACATTGGCAGGATGACTCAAAGAGTTTCACATTACTGACTATGCACCTGAGTTGGCGAAGGAGCTGAAGGGATTGGGGGAAAGAAGACTGAAAGTGTAATCTAAAATATAGGTCTTACGGCTAAGAGGCAGGTGAAGGGGCTCTGGGATGCAGTTCGAAAGAGTGGGGCAGAATGGCTGATAGCTCTTTGGAAGGTTGGATCCGGTGGGGGGATATGAAGCAGGCTGGTATTTGCTGAGCAGAGGGAGAGGCTAGGGCTGTATGATTGCAGAGTTTGCAGAGATGAGTTGGCAAGGCTGTAGAAGGATTTGAAAGTGAGGACAGAGATCTTGAATTTGATCAGTTGGGGCATGTGAGCCAGTGGAGCTCAGTGAGGACGCGGGTGATAAGCTCGCGGAGCCTGGTAGGGGACATTGGCTACAGACTTGTGGATGGTCTGAACCTATTGTGGGAAGGAGTTATTTTGGTGACTGCGAAGAGAGATGGTAGTGGAGGTGAGAGAAAGCTAAGTGACCGAGAGCCTGGGCATCTGACGATATGAATGGGGTGTGAACTTCTTTTCAACAAATGCGCCATTGTGTTCAATTTAAGCCTTTTCCAGTTAAATTTTCTTCTTCAGTCTTCCATAAACAGCCAAATATCAGAGTGATATTTCAAAGAAAGCTTAAAGGTCCAGAAAATTTATTGATAGATTTTATTTCAAGAGAGAGGGATAATTTATCTTACTTGCCTCCCAAACAGGGTATAAATCCTCCGCCCCCCCCCCCCCCCCCCCCCACACACACCACAAAAGAAGGGTGATTTGGTTTAAAGGGAAAATCAAGAATAAGACTTTTACAAAGCCTTATCTTGGAGTGTTTGTTTCACATGGGACAGATTGCCCTGTGACACTGGTTCTTAAAATGGCGCCATTAATTTGGGATGAAATATTCAAGAACGAGATGGCTCGTTTTTAATTGACCTTCTTTTTTCTTATTTTATTACAGTGACATGAAAAACGCTGTCATTGGGAACAACAAGCAGAAAGCCAATCTGATTGTGCTGGGGGCAGTACCAAGGTATTGCAACAGTTTAATCCTGTCCTGCACTAACTTAGCCATCACTCTGCCAAAAGGTCACCTCTGCCAAGTTTAAAACCGCCTTTTTGTTGCACGTGCTATCTTCCAGCAGGGGTCTTGTGACAGACCAGGACTGAGAACCTGTCTGATTGGTGTACCAACCCAGGGACATTTAAGACCTAACACATGAGTAACCTAGCACAGATTGGGATTTGAACACATGCGTCGTCAGTGTCTTAATATCCATAATGAACTGCTTTTTGGTTCCTTTTATGTAAACTAACAGGTATACTGTCTGACAATGTGGAGTGGTTTAATCCTTTGGCCAAAGGTTTAATCCTTTGGTTAATTATTTACCCAACTCATAGTTTGGAGTTGTGTGATTTTACTTGTGCAAATTGCTGTCAAAGTCCCTGCAAAACAGTCACCAGACTTGGTTTTACCTGTGCCAATAATTACTCAACATGTTGACCTACTAAGGCCATATATAAATGCAAGTTATTTCTTTTTACAGGAGGTAGAAAAGTATTTTTGGAGCATTGTTGTTCAGATTTTGTATAATTTTAAACCTGTTAAGTAATGGTAATCCTATTTTGCAGATTGCTGTACCTTCTACAACAAGAGGCTTCCAGTGTTGAACTTAAAACCGAATGTGCAGTTGTGTTGGGAAGCCTTGCAATGGGAACAGAAAATAACGTGAAGTCTTTGCTGGACTGCCACATAATTCCAGCATTACTGCAAGGTAACGGTCGTTCAAAGAAGCACTAATGGTATAAGATTTATATAATTTTTTTAAGACTCTTGAGCTCCCATGATGGGCTCAGTGGGCGTTTGTGTTGTATGGTGTAATACTGAGCCTTAAAAATGAAAGGTTTGCTCCCTGGTGTGTGGTGAAGCAGTACACCTCGGCTTTGAGTGGTGGTTGGGATGCTTACAATTGGGCTCAGAATCCTAGCAGGCCACAATTTGGGCTCCTCATCATTGTCCAGTTGCCCTTTCTGACACTCCCTGTCCAGTCTCACAGTTAATGAATGATAATTTATTTGAGATTCTGTATAGTTGTTGTTGATGCCTTGGAACGCCAGTACTAAACGCTCAGGAACGCTATCCCGCGTGAAGGCCACTACGTAAATGCAAGTTGTTGTTGTTGTACTAGCCTCTTGTTTCAGGAGAAGAGGAATATTGCAGTGTACAAAGAGACAAAATAGACATTGGAAATAAACAGAGGGATTAAGGCAGGGAGTTCCAGAGATTTGGGGTATAGTGGCTGAAAGCACAGCCGCCAGTGGTTGAGAGCGGGGGATGAGGGATATGTAGAAGACCAAGCCAGCTGAGCGAAGGAGTGGGTTGTGAGCAGGTAGGGTGATGCCAGGGTGTGAATTGATTTGAAAGTGAGAGTGAGGATCTTTAAGTCAATCTGATCTGCAACAGAACTATAGAGATCAATCTGAACTGATGAGAACTGGGGTGATAATAATAATCCATGCATTTGATGTAGCATCTTATCATGTTGTCGAGACGTCTGAAAGCACTTCACAGGATAAACTGTAAAGTGATTTGATGTACTGTGTGATGAGGGTGTGAAGCTTGATACAGGTGCCAGGGCAGCAGTTTTTTTATCATTTGGACTTTGTTTATATTGGAGTTGAGGAGACTGGTGAAGCGTGCATTGGAAAAATCAACGGAGGTGTGAGGCGAAAAAAGCTTGAATGAGGGTTTCAGCAGGGTTTGAATTAACATAGGGGCAAAGGTGGGTGATGTAGCGGAAGTGGGGAAGGAAGGTCAGCGACCTGAAGAACAAATTTCAGAAGTAACCAAGACTCTATTAATCGCTTGTGGGAGCCATGCCAGAGGAGATATTATGGATTTCTTTGAAACTTGAAATTGGTGATTAATTCTTGCTAGTCAGAGCCAAATCATAGTCTGGAAATAAAATCTTTTTTTTTAAATATCTATAGGCCTTCTTCTTCCAGATCTGAAGTTTATAGAGGCTTGTCTTCGCTGTCTTCGCACAATATTTACAAGCCCCGTGACTCCAGTGGAGGTACTTTATACAGTAAGTGTTAAGCATCACGCATTAATGTTATACATGAATTATTATTGTGTAGGAACAATGCTGAGGATTTGGGTTGGCAGGAAAACTAATGAAAATATTGCTTAAATAGCTTGGATGTTTCTCAATATTCATTTGGCTTCGCTATCTTAGAACATCATGCTGAGACTAAGGGAAGAGTCATTTTTGGAGCCTGGAAGAAGTCTAATATACATTCTTATTGAGATCTAGTGGGTGAGAGCAGCCAGAGCAGTCTGTTCTGTAAGCATGAATACTAGATGTTAATGCTAATAATATTAATAGGTTCAGAAAAGTGATATGGGTTGTTTGGCTTCTCCTTTTCTCTACTCAAAAGAGTTCCTCTCTTTCTGTTTGGAATAATATGCTGAAGTCAGGAACTGAGACCTAATGCGAGTAAAAACCTGTATTCTACTGTGTAGAGCTCATGACAAGTTCCATGATGCATTTAGGAATACAGAATACACTCCTGGATGTTTTGCATACCATAGGGTCTCACAATGCTCCTTAAGCTAACTTGCAAAGAAAATGATGCTTTCGAGACATTTATTTTATATGAATGGTCAGGTATGCAGGTAAATGTAAGTTGTTTGATTGAAGAGAAGTGGCAAAACAGTTGCTTCTTGAAAACAGGAACTAAGTTAATGTGTGAAGAAACGTCAGGGTTGTGCTATCGAGTTTTTAAGCTCGCTGTAAGATTGAGCAGTGTTATATAGTTGTGTTAAGCTTGGCAGCTATATATCAGTATAACCACAGTACCTAGATGCAGAAATCAGCAATGTGGAGTAGTGTGAAGGAGGCCAACATTTCTTGACAGAGGGAGGCAAAATAACCAAGTCTTTGGTGTGGCATGACCCGCTCTGCCTTCCCCCATTTCCGCAACGTCGCCTGGCTCTGCCACTGTCTCACACCTCTGGCCGCCAAAACCCTCATACACGCTTTCATTACATCGAGGCTTGACTGCAAACTCACTGCTTGTCGGCCTCCCCAACTCCTCCCTCCACAGGCTGCAGATCATCCAGAACTCTGCAGCCCATGTCTTTTCCTGCATTAGGCTCCGTGACACCCTATCACCCCCATCCTTGCCCAACTGCACTGACTTCACATCACACAGAGGATACAGTTCAAGATCCTGGTCCTCTCCTTCAAAGCACTCCACGGTCTTGCTCCCGTCTAGCTCTGCGACCTCCTAACCCCCTACCATCCTGTTCACTCCCTCCGCTCAGTGGACTCCGGCCTGCTTCACTGTGGGCGGACGGGCCTTCTGCCGCTCTGCCTCCTCCCTCTGGAACTCCATCCCGCAGTCCCTCTGTCTCGTCCCCTCCCTCGCCACCTTCAAGACCCATCTCAAGACCCTCCTCTTCGACTGTGCTTTCGATCTCCCTGCCCTTCACTCTCCCCGACCCCGAACCCCATAACTCTGTCTGTCCAGGACCTTGGGACGACCTCCTGATGTGAAAGGCGCTACACAAATGTAATTTTGTTGTTGTTGTTTTGTTGCATTATCTTCGAACATGTGGCTATAACCAACATTTTTGGTGATATGCAGCAATGCCTCTAAGCTAAAGGCTTGAAACATAGGGAAGGGGGAAGGTGATATATGTATGCTGTGTTGGAAGTTGGAGGATATTCAATTAATCATTTACTAACAGAATACGTTTAACTGTTTTGATTATATTACAGGATGCTACTGTGGTTCCTCATCTGATGTCTTTGCTCAGTCGATCTCGATACACACAGGAGTATATCTGCCAGATCTTCTCACACTGCTGCAAGGTAAGAGGCTTTAACCACAAACCATCCTAATATTCTGAGGGTGTATGTTGATCTTTTAAGTGTCACTAAAGAGATGCCACATTTTAGATAATTTTACATTGCATTATGTTACATTATTTATGAAGAAACTGATCCATATTTTAAAGTTTGTGTGAATATTTGATGATCTTAGGAAAGTACCTATCACTTTAATGAGTTAATGCAGTGTATTTGATGCACTACATGATTGTACATGATTTAATACAATCACGTAGAAAGGTGGATGCGGAGACTGAATGGTATAGTGAATTTTCAGATTTGCACATTGTCCTTTTATGTTTAAGCCCTTTGAACACAGTCAGATCAATGAGAAAGCTTAATGCTGGTGCAGTGAGCCAGAAGTACAAAAGTGTTGCATTCTGCAGCGCTGAAATTACTCAACATGAATTTCATAAAAGGCCAGTGATCTATATTCATGTCAATCGCATGTGTGATTGATTCCTGTTCTTATATTTATCGCGAATATTGTTTTAACTAAACAAAGTAGAATCAACTTCGGGCAGGCAGTTAAAGGATCCAGTCCTTTAAGTTGAAATGTATCGAATGCAGTTGAACTATTTTTAGTCCGGTCACCTTAATGTTGAGTGCTTAACTGAAAACGTAATATCATGATCAACCTACAGAATAAATGCAGGGTACACTGTGTTTATTCTGTAGGATCTTTAGTTCAAAAGACCTGTAGAAATATATAGGTCCAGATCCTTTTACTTTAGTTTTATCTATGTTTCCAAAATTCAGTTCATAAAAAAATTATCAAGAAAAAAAGGATGTCTAAAGACTCTAAGGAAACATCTTCATGCAAACCATACATAGAGTAAAGCCATTATAACACGGATCTTTGGGTCCAATATCTCTGGAAAATGAAGAGAGAAAAAACAACTTCCGGGTCACCAGGTTGTTGCTGCGTCTTGGAGGTGCTGCTGACATCACTTCGTTCACAAAATGGCACAGTAGCACTTCTTGTATGGATATGCATTTTATAGGATGTAACGTTCATAGCACTTCCTGTGCATGCACTCAGTACAGCAACAACCTGACATGCCAGAAGTTATCCATTTTTCTGCCCGATAAGCCAGTTGGTCAACACAGGAAGCTGGGTGTACCATCTACTGTAGTGTTAAAATAACCTAACCAAACTGCTTAATTGGGACTATATTTTGTGAGGCTGTCCTGTACTGATTGTGGAAGACTTATTAAGAAGTTTAAGTGTCATCTTAGAACAGTTTTATTTAGTTTCTACGAGTAATGGGATTAAAAATGCAAAGGATGAAATCAAAGTTATTATTTACTTGTTTTATCCTTTACATGTGTATCATCCAGTCAGGAGAAAATCGGTCGCTGTATTTCTTCTGAAATGTTCTCCCCTCTCCTGGAATAGAAATATTAAAATAATCCTTGGTTTTGTTTACAGACTCCAGAACACCAGGCCGTCTTGTTCACCAATGGTGCAGTACAGAATATTGCACATCTACTGACGTCACCTTCATACAAAGTAGGTGAAAATTGTGTTTAACTTATATTTTCTTTTTTAAAAAAAGTACTGAAAAAACACTGACCTGGAAACCATTTCCGTCTAAGGTTCGGAAGAAATATCTAGTCTTATTTTCCACTTGTTCTTGATTAGTGGTGGTACATAAAATATTTGGAAGAATGTAGAAGTTTAAGATAATTTTAAGCTCATTTTGGTATGCACATTTTAACAGAATTTGATTCTTGATTTTTGCACAGGTTCAGATGCAGGCACTAAAATGCTTTTCAGTATTGGCCTATGAAAATCCTCAGGTTTCATTGACTCTTGTAAACGGTGAGTGACAAAAACTTGTGTTTCGTCTTTTTTTGGATCAGTATTTTTTCCACTAGGATTAACGCCTGATTGAAATGTTTACTTTGTGACAATTGAAATGGATCGGGTCATAGCAGTATATTTAATATGGAATGTGCTCTTCTCATTTTAGTGTTGGTAGATGGAGAATTGTTACCCCAAGTATTTGTGAAGATGATGCAGAGGGATAAACCTATTGAAATGCAGCTGACATCTGCAAAATGGTATCTATTCAGACTTTCTCAACAATGATAGTTACCTCCTGTAAATCTTTTATTAATAATCAAACGATCCTTGCAACTTCCATTCTTGTTATAAGAGACATTTTATCATTTAAATTGAATTGAAGATAACTTCCACAACTCTGGATTGCAACTATGTGCAGAATATTGCACTAATTGCGTTAGATTTTTTGTTAGTTCTTTTATGTTGTTAACTGAATCTATAACATTTTGTTATCTGACTCATAATTGCCTGAGTTCGTGAATGGAATTTACGATACTCAGAAAATGGGTCTTTTTTTATATAACTTTCATTTCAATCTTATTTTCCAGTTTGACTTACATGTGCAGGGCTGGAGCAATTCGCACAGATGATAATAGTATAGTTTTAAAGGTTAGTATGACATTTCAGTAATATATTTGCTTCATTTCAATAGGTGAGGATAATAGTCGTGCGAAGTGTATAATGACTGTACTCCTGTTCAGAAGATTATTTCAGGAAGCTCAGTCCTTAAATCAACAGGAAGGAATGTGTTCAAGCTAAAATGTGTTTGTTTTCAATATCAATCTGATGTTGGTCAGTAGGGGGCACTTGTGCTCTTCAGTAAACCAGGAATATTAACACTTCAGTGTCCCAATTTGCTGAGAGCGTGCAGATGTTAACACATGCCATGATAAACAAAGTACCAAAAGATCACCATTTCTAATGTTGAAAATGTTTAATTCTCAAATCAGATGAAAATCTACAGTTTTTCATTTAAAAAAAAGTTGTAAGGATAGAATGTTATGAATATTAGTCTTCGCATTTGATATAGCATCTCACTATGTTGTTGAAACATCTGAATGCATTCACTCAGGTGTAATGAGTGTATTTGTAGACAAATGGTGGCAGCCAATTTGCACTCAGTTGTGTCAGACAAACAGCCATGTTTGACCAATGTTTCTGGAGAATTAGTGGCCAGGATCTCGGGAGAGATTTCATTCTCTGGATATAGAATTGTAGGAATGTTAGCCAAAAGAAGATCCCTGCTGTTTTCGAATAGTGTCCCGGGATTTTAATGTCCCACCTTTACAGGCAGAAAGGACCTTGGTTTAACTTCTCATCGGAATGATTGCACCTCTGAATACTCGGTGCTCCCCAGTTCAGAATTGATTAGCCTGCCGAGCCTGTGAGTTCACAGGGCTTAAACCCACAACTTTCTGACTCAGGCAAGAATTTTATCATCTGAACCAGCTGTTTTTATAGTTGTTCAGGCATATTGTGAAGGCAATTTTTGTGTTCATTACCAGAAGCCCTTTCTAAAAATTTCTCAGTTTGAACCATGCTGCCCTCTCTCCCCTTATCCCTTGAGGAAATATGACTTATTGATGTTGCATGCAACCTGATTAACTTTACAAAATTTCTATCTGTTCAGACACTCCCATGCCTAGTCAGGATGTGCAGTAAGGAAAGGCTGCTGGAGGAGCGTGTGGAAGGAGCTGAAACCTTGGCTTACCTGATAGAACCAGACGTGGAACTGCAGAGGATTGCTAGCATCACAGATCATCTTATTGCAATGCTTGCTGATTACTTCAAATATCCTAGCTCAGTCAGTGCAATCACGGATATAAAAAGGGTACGTTTTCATCTGGCCAATTTACAGTGTATTTAATGTTTGTTTTTTGACCTTTTTTAATAAAGAACAATAATAATCCTTGCAGTTGATATACCGCCTTATCACGTCTTCGATACTCTCAAAGCGCTTCATAGAATATACTGTAAAGTGAATTGACTATATATTTTGTGGATGGAGCAAAGAATAAATACTGTACGTAACTAACTGCCCTTGCTAAACAACGAGTCTGGGTCTCTACAAAGCTGTTCTGCACAGTGGCTGAAATCAAGGACTTTGCGGCCAGAAATTAAATGCAATATGGTGTCTTTTTTGGTGGAGTCCTGTAGCTCAATGGTTAGAGCACTCGCCTCGCATGTGAGAGACCCGGGTTCTATTCCCAGCAGGGTAAAATGTTGAACTAATTCCCTTACTCCACACGCCTCTGTTTACCGAGGTGTAAGTAGGAACCTGGTTGTTAGTTTGTCCGGCGGATTGCTTTTCCGGGGGTAATAGTTCCTTCAAAAATAATAATAATAAATGGATCACTTCAGTCCACTACTGTTTGTGGGACATCACTGTGCGCAATTGGCTGCTGTGTTTTGCTCATAAAATATACAGTCAATTTACTTTACAGTATATTCTGTGAAGCACTTTGAGACGTCTCGAAGATGTAATAAGGTGCTATATCAAATGCAAGGATTAGTATTTTTTATAACTCAATTGCGATATTAAAGTATACAGACTTTCTGGTGAGCAGACAAAAATTGGGTATGTCATTGAAAATAAATCACTAAAATAGGCTAAATTTTTAAAATGAGTTTTGTCAAATGGGTTTAGTCTGGTTTATCACTGTGTGTATGACACCGATTGATCTTAATGAATAAATGACGGTACAGACCACACTGATTTTTATCTTTCTTAAATGCTGTTCTTTCCTGATATTCCTCAGCTCGACCATGACCTCAAACATGCTCATGAACTTCGCCAAGCTGCGTTCAAGTTGTATGCCTCCCTTGGAGCGAATGATGAAGACATCCGGAAGAAGGTGAGTCTGGGAGAAGGGCGTCCCCCGGTCCTGGCAACCAACAGGCAGGGAGTGACGTCAACCTGAGAAGGTGAAGAGAATTAACAGTGACTTTACGAAAGAGCATAATCAGATGTGAAGAATGAATGGGATTGAGACTCGTTTTGTCTAGAGAAATGAGTTGTGACGTGTTCATGTTGGAATGACAAATGCTGGTGTTTACTGTGTTGAACCTACACCAGATCCTTAAGTTACATTCTTTGCATGAGTTCATAACAATAGTAACAATATAAACCACTGTGAAGTGTAGTGTATAGTACTGACTCAAGTAATACAGTAGTTCTGTAATGTCAGTTATATAAATGCTTGCCTACTTACCTGCTGCAAACCGGAAGTACTCAGCTTCTGTTTCTGTATCAACTTTAATTTGTGGCCTGCTGATGTGTTGATTTGTGTTGCTGATGTGCAAGTTTCATTGTAAATAAAGCTTTGTGCAATGACATTGCTGGTAGCTTGTTTTCTGAATCTACAGTGAACCAAAACACTACTTCCAAGTAACTTTTGAGTAACTAAATATGGTTTGAGTTCTTAGTGAGGTTAACTATCAACCAGTAAAATGGTACCTTTACAGATTAACTTCTGGTTCAATTAAATTAGGCAGGAGTATGTTGTGTATGTACCCGGCAAGGTGAGGGAGAACAGTGTTGGAAAATGTTCATACTCCCATATTGTTCTGGTAATGTTCCTTCGCTCCCAACCTAAATGCATCCTTTTACTGCAATAGTGTGACATTACCATGATTTACTGACGCTTATCTTTGTGGCGTCAATGAGCAAGGCCGCAGCACCAAACAGTGCTGTGGACTTTGTCCATGAAATTGAACAGAGTGTGCCCAAGCTAATCTCCTCATCAGGAGCAAGTTATTCTCTATAACCAGCCTGGATAGGACCTTAGAATGAGGTTCTGTCAAAGCCATCTAGAAATGGTCACTGAAATTATTTTAATTTAACCTTAAAATGTGGTTTTGTTCATTTAGAATGGACAAATCACTTAACTACAGGAGAGCTTCGTCACTTTCTGAAGTAACAAAAAAAAGTGAGGATTTAGGGTGAGAACACTGCAAATAATTCAGAATCTGATTTTAGGGGTGAACTGATCAATCTGCTAGTGTATCTGCGATGAAGCATAATTTAAGTGACCTTTTTCAAGAGTGAAAGTCCTTTTGCTAGTCAGAGTCCCCTTGTGCAATACTGTATTCTGTGGCCCCTTATTTTTCCATCCACCAGTGAAACTTGAGGATTGGTTGCGCTTGTTGTGAAATGATTAACATTTTGTTTAGTCATGGTGCAGGCCGGCAGAAGTGCAATACTATAATACATTAATACAGCTATCGGTTCCTGGGACTCAGCTGTAGGCCAGAATATTGATGCGCCGGTCGGTAAGTGTCAGCGGTTTGGCTGGGAGAGGAACAGAGACATTGCTATTATTTCTATAAAAAAAACAAAGTTCTTGTTCTCGGTCTTTTTTTATTTCAAAAGGAACTTTTGGTAACTTGCTGGGAAGCTTGTGGAAATCGGTGTAAAAGCCCTTAAGACATGTTAAGTAATCCATTTCTGCGAATTTATATGTAATGATACAGTTTAATATATTCAGTTTCAGTTGTCGTATAACCTGCAGAAAAGATTTGTTGCTCTGGTAAACAGTGGGTTTTATGCCAATTACCAACACATATTAAATGCAGATTTGTTTTATTGACTTGTAAATCTTTATTTTCACTCATTGCTGTACCTATAGAATAGTTTTCTAACATTCTACACCAGGCCACCCCCATAGTCCCTTTGCCTTACCCATTCCCTTGCCTCCTTCAAGGTGCATCTGAAGACCTTCCTCTTTCTTTGCCCCTTGGGTCATCTTCCCCCCGCCCCCCCCACCTTCATCTCCACCCATCCTGAATCCAACCCCTGCTGTCCAGTGGCTTGGGATGTCCTCCCGACTTGAAACTCGCTATATAAATGCAAATTGTTGTTGTGGTTATTTGTTTAAACTTAAAAGAGAGATATTTACCACATCACAATATATTTTCTGAGGCTATCAATGTAACCTGCACTTTGTACCTCGTAGCATGAGGGTACTTCTCTGTAAACCTTTCACCTCGGATGTCAGAATCCCACCGTCCCCTGCATCCGTGATCTGTTGCATTGCATTTAGAACTGCCTCCTCAACTGTATGTATAGTGAGTTCATCCTCATACAGTATTCTTGATATTTTTGCTTACATTGTAAACAAAGGTAGATACAATAGGAGATTGGAGCGAGGAGCTTTATGGTAAGGGTGGGCCCCAATTGGATTTGTGCTCGTTTTGTGCTCAAGAAGCAACCGACACGGTTTGAAATTCACTCCTGTCCATGAGTTAAATTATCCATTTCCACCACTAACTTGCCAACAGATTGGAAAATAATCTGGTACATTTGAAGCATTTGTGGTGGAACTCACAATATTAACTATGAAGCTATTGCCTTGATCTCATGGTTGGATGTTGTTCAAGTCAAACTACTTTGGTTGGGTGAACTTCTGTTCCTGACTTGACTCCTCATATGAATTATTAAGCAACTTCAATTGTGCTGTGTTGTCCACTGAATTGATTGATTGCTGCTTCCCACAGAATCCTGCCCTCCTAAACTTCAGAAAGATATATTGTGCTGTGAGCCCAAGAAATAAACTATATAGTTTGTTTAAAAAAATACACCATGCTTGCCTTTTTATGTTAAAAAAAAAGGGGGAAAAAGTAAAGCAGATGTCTCATACTGTTATTGTGAAAGTGTGCCAGGTATTCAAGAGCACAATATTTTAACATTCTGAGCAAATGGTTCAGGTAATGATCTTTGAATGCTGTGTTTGTAGATGTGAATTACGAGGAGCCAAATATCTCTATACATTACTTTACTGTAATGCAGTACAACAAACTTGCCTTGATTTCTGAAGTGTATATCCCTAAAACAGGACATTTTGCCTGTGCATATCCTCCATTAAAGATTGTAAAATAGCATCTATTAATATATTATAATTCAAAAAATTGTATTGACATAGGTTAATATAATTATAATTTGAAGAATTATAATTATTCTAACCTATTATTGTCAGTACTGTATTTGTTCTATCAATGGCACTGAAGTGAGATCAAATCGCCTAATTGCACCGAATTGGAACTAATCTTTATAAGTTACATTTGACATGAGGCGGCTCACAGAGAAACATTTTGGTAACTATTACTGTGTACTAACTGCAAGTTATTTAAATCTCATATCAACATTAAGGTGACTATTCAAAAATGTTTTTCAAGTAATGGAAAAACCTAGTGATTTAAAAGGTTTGTAATGAATATTTATTAGAGAATAATGAATACCTGAGAGTGTGTTGGACGATAATCACTGTATTAGGGAGTTCAGGTGACATCCTGATTAACCCTGAAATACAATGCGCAACCCTGTATACTTCTATCTAATTCTGAATTGTAGTTTTACACTTTTTTTTATTACTATGCTGAATATTTGTGGAAACCATTGTGCTTTTGGGGATGGCATTGTTTAAGCGAACAAAAGCTCCTGGCTACTGCACAACTTCATTTACCATACAACATATAATGTAACACTGTTATACTGGCGAGTGTTGAGAGGGTGTAACATAATCTTTGTTAAGATAATATTAAACAATGAGAACAAAGCCAGAGCAGCTTGGGAATGTCATGCAACCCTGGATTAAAAATAAAATTAATAATGCATGTTACATGATATCAAACATTTATAAACTACTTTGAGTTTTGTGTCTAAGTTGACTAAAATATTGCTGATCGTTAGAATGGTACAAAGGCTTTTTAAAGTGTTCATTATCTTGATGCTTTTTTACAGAGTTCTTAAACCATTATTCTTTATGGTTATGGAATTACAGTGTTAATATTTAATTTTTAAAAAGTGCCTCTTGGGAACTTTCTCTCTTGTTTGCAGAGTTAACTAACTATTGCTACCTGAGTTTGGGTTGCTGGAGCATGCATTTGGTTTATGTGAATCTGGCTTGCTCCATGGTAAACCAATGATAAGAAACTTGCTCTTGTTGGACACCTCTGGCTACAGCATTAGCCCATCCGATTCTTGCCTAAAATCAGACTCAATTTGTGCTTTGAAAATTTGTAATTTATCGATAACTTTTTGGGGGTAGTTTCGTTTAAACGTTGAGAGTTTGTGCTGCAGTGTGAAGGAATTAAATGAATATGCACTGTCCGATCATTCAGATTAATCACTGCTTCCCTCACACTGTTGCCAGTAACTGCACTCAAGCAATAACTCTGATGACATTATTAGTCCATGTTCAAACAAACATTGTATGGAACAGCGGTAAAGTTTTTTTAAACTTTTTGATTATTCATTAAGATTACTGATGGCTCATATTTTAATGTTCAACTAAGCTGTAAAGTCCAAACTATAACTCCGGAATGTAGTTCACTTGCACTAATGAGTAACAAAGAAGTATTTAAAAAGAAACTTTGTGCACTGCTGTAATGATTGTCCTAAGTTATAGTGAACCCTCACAGTTGTGTATTCTCCTCATTTCTGATTCTGTGCTTTTTTTTGATATTGATGTCTGTTTTCTAAAGCCCTCTGGAAACTCATCCCACATTCCCTTCGCCACGCTCCCTCCCTTGCCTCCTTCAGGACCCTCCTCGTTGACCATGCCTTCGGCTACCCTCCCTGCCCTCCACCCTCCCTGATACCACACTCTGCCACTTCCCCACTTGGGTCCTAATCCCTGACTGTCCAGCTCCTTGGGACATCCTCCCGACCTGAAAGGCGCTTTACAAATGTAATTTTGTATATTTGTATTGTCCAATTGTGTGATTAAAAATATATTTTAAATTGGAGATAAATAACTTAAACTATACATATTGAAGGTAAATAAACAAGGCTAGCCCCTAGTCTTATCTACATTTAGATTTCCTCATGTGGGGCACAGAGTTCATGTGTTTATTAGTGTCCTACCCCAACACATTACAAAGCTAACCAGGCACGTTCTCTGATTCCATCTGGGAGATCTGGGAAGTGAGGGTTGAAAAATCTTGATGCTTATTGTGATGTTACAACCAACCATTTTAACAGCTCGGGCACCTGGGACGGGCTTGAGGAGAAACAGGATTTCTGCCTTCTGGTTATCTTAACTGGAGAAAAAATTAGTCTATGAGAGCAGAAAATAACAAAAATGTTTGAGGGATGTGGGGCGGAGGAGGTCTTGCCTCTTGGATAATCCTTATCAATAGTTCAAAAACTGCCCACTTTTTTTCATTATTACTGAAAAGCAAGTTCAGTATTTTGTTTATACCGAGAAAGGAGTTAATGCACTTTCAGCAAAAGGAAAATATATCTAACTAGTGAAGGAAAACAAATCAACAACCCTCCTCCCCCTTGAAAAAGGTTTAATAATTCCTGTCTTCTGCTATGCCTGCTTCCTAGGGTAAATTAGCATTTATCATGGGGTTTGTTCTGCTACAATTGTGCCACTTAGCAGCTTTCTGCTACAGGTTTAGAGTTGAGGTGCCACCTGTCTGGTTCGTGTAGGAAGCTGTTTCAGCAAATTGCGTTGGAAATCAAGATTATCATTTAAATTCAAGAGAGCTGAAAAATATTCCAGAAATAACAAGAACATGGACCATGTGGATAGATGCTCATTATGTACACTCCTTGAGGGAAAGTAATCTGTTCAATAGCTAACTATGGGTGAATAGCATATATTTATTTTAACTGACAAGTCTTTTAATGGAACGAATTAAGTGCAGATTGCTGCCAGAAAGTCACTTCTAGATGTGATGAGGACATTTCCTTGCTTCTGCATGAATTTCAAATTACTAGCTGCTACATTTAGGAATCAAATTCTCCCAGTGGGGAAGTCACTGAATGGCTGTGCTCAGAACACCTTTGATGGTGGCTGGCACTCAACAGGCCTGAGGGTTACCAGAGGCATTTTCACTTGTGCTTTTGAAGTGTATGTAGTCACAGTATGTAGTTACCTACCAGCAATAGTGCTGCTGTATTTTATGCTTTGTGTTTGATATGAATTCCAAAATGTGATATTTGGCCAGTATATGTTTCAGAATGACATTAGAGCTCATTCTTTTAGAATTAGCAAATGAAGGTATTTCAGATCTGCCTTTAGTACATTGTTAAAAACTCCATATTTCAAACATGGGCACAATACTGTGTTTTACGGACATTGAATGGCTATATTTTGATTTAACGGTTGCATATTTTATGCTGAAGTATTAGCCTTTGAAATGATATAATTCCTATTGCATTCATTTTACTTATTAACAAAATGCTAAATTCCTCTGTATTTTTACTTGAGACCTGCAGCCTGCATGAATACCCTTCAATGAATTCTGCAGCTGTACCGATCTGCCTCAGTATTTCAGCATTACGTTTACTGCCAATTTCAACACTTTCTATTGGCTTTTATTATATAGATTTGTTTTAATGTGTCATTGCAGAGTGACCTAAAAGGCTTCAATGTTGAAATTCAGATGAAATCCATGAACAATTTAAAGATTGCTTTTTACGATATCCTTTGAGTCTCCTTGATTAGAGAGCATGGTTAAAATGGGAGGTGGTATTAAGTGAAGGGCCTCAGGGGTCCATTGCTAAGATTCTCTCCTGTTCCCAGTGCACATAAAACCTGCAATTTCAAAGTCAATGCATGGTAGGTAGATTTAAAAATTATGCCAAGCTGGTTTGTGCGGGGTGGGCGGGGAGATAGAATTGAATTCAGGAAGCAGTAGTATTTTACAAACCAGTACAAAGTAATTTAATGCAAGATATTGCAGCTGGAAATACAAATCGGCACATGTATTCCATAGATTGGACAGAACTTGCAAAGGGGGAAGTTGAAAGAGACCCTAGAGTTGCCAGTTGACTAATTGCTTACCATGTCCAAACTGTGTTAGACATCAAGTAAAATAAGTGAACAAGATGTTAGTCTGCATTGCTAAATCTCTTGAGTTTGGATCCCAGAAGGTATACTTTGGCTGTACTACACTGTTGTGTTTTAAACTGTGCTTGGGGATTGTTTCATAAAATTATGATTTGGTGTGATGTAAGTGCCTTCCTTCTCTCTCCTCTTCTCCCCGCCACCCCCCCCCCCCCCCCCCCCACCTTCCCCCCCATCACAGAATTTCACATTTTTATCTTAAGTTTGTTGTATGGCATTATTGCAACTTGTGCATCCTGGCTTTCCGGAAGTCTTAATATAAATGACTGCGACATGGCTTGTAATATACAATCAAGAATGTTGTGGATTTGTTTGACCATCTCTGCAAAGCCATGACTCAGGTATCCAGTCCAGGGCAGGAGCAGTTACCTTTTGAAGCAAGCTTCACAGAAGCACAGTTCATTACTGGAATGGCTGCTGCTGTCAAGTAATGACAGACCTGCTGTCTTCTTGATTCCATGGGTGGCCACTTGCTGATTGATTGCTTTGTTACCCTGTTGAAATCTTGTGTTTGCTGGGAGGAAGCTTGCTAGGTTGTGCAGCAGGCAATTCAGGCCACATAATGATGCGATTCCTCACTTCAGAAAAGAAAAGGGTGAATCAGTATATCTACTGCCTTTTCTGGGTCAAATATACGCAACTATTGTTTGCTTTGAAGCTTTTCAGTCTTTATGAATGAACCTAATGAAAAACTTCGGGAAAATGTGGCTGCTCATTCTTATATAGATTGTAGTTTTGTTTTAAATACTTCAGTAAATGTAATGAAATTGCATCTCCTTTGCTTATTTACACCGCGTTCATTTTTCTTCTAGATAATCGAGACTGAAACTATGATGGACCGCATTGTCACTGGCTTATCTGAGTCTAGTATCAAAGTGCGGTTAGCTGCTGTCAGGTACGAATCCATTAAAAGTTACTTATTTGAAACCGAATTTGGTAGTTGATTAATGAGGAGAATGATGAACTCTGATGTTGACAGAAGTTACTGGACCTTTAAGAATCAATTTCATACAATGTCATGGTAACGCATTGTATGGATAAGAAAATAATACTTTGTGCAAATTGAAACAAAAAGTATGAAATTAGCTATTTAGAGCCCAACTCGCCAGGTAAGGGCTGAGTAATTTTTAACAACTTTGGAACCCATTCTTCCTCAATCTGCCAAAGACCTCTGTAAGATTTTGTGATTATAAATGCAAACATTTTTTAATTAATAACCATTTATTTCAAAGTTGCTATGATGAATTCTAGTTACAAGAAAGATTGGCCATCAAAGATCCAATTTGTTTGACACCCGTGGAAACCCATTGCCGTGCTTCAGTGTCCAAACCAGACAGAGTTCTATATATCTGCGTCATTTTAGCACAGAATTGAATGTGCTAAAATGGCACATTCACTCCCCAAAAGGATGCACCTAAATTACTTAGTGCCAGAAAGTATTAGGTGCAATTTGGAACAGCCAAGCTTTGGGGCCGCAGAATGCGTGTTCTAATGGAGTTTAAAACGATAAAACTGCATAGATTGCCATTGTGAACACTGAGCTGAGATGCCCTCGTATTTCACACTTGGTGACTTCAAGCACCTGGTAAATGTCATTGTGTGCATTGTATGACTGATAACTCTCCCATCTTGTGGTGGTTTGATTCTGGGATCTGAAATGAAATAAAGTTACAGCAGCCTGGAAAGCTAATCTGAAAGTTGGACCCGTGTCTGGGACTCTGTTAGCTGTATTTTACTTCAGGTTTGCTACCGACTGGACTCTAGAAGTCAGTGGGCGAATCGTGACCCTTTTGCAACTCAAGCATAAGTGATATTGGGTCCCTGTATGTGTGTGTGTGGGTGTGTGTGGAACAGATGCAGGTCTGGATTGTCATTTTCAGAAAACAAAAGTAAAGCAGTTTGAAGAAGGCTGCCCTCTGTCATTGCCTCCACACAGGATAACTCTGTTCTTACTATCACAGCAACATCAAATCAAACCAAACATTGTTACTGCAGTCACGTTTCTGGCAGATTAGCTGTTGCTGGTTGTAGACTTTGATAACCCGGACTCCTTGCTGCAGCTTTCAGGAAGAATGAGGGACATTATACCCAAGTCATAACTAATTCGATCAGTTTAACCACTCATTTTGTAATAATTACAGTTAAAGGATGCATTGATGCATTGATCACAGTGACCTTGCTTACCATTTACCGTCCATTACATTTGATACATTTTAAATGTAGTCACACTAATTTTACGCATCTTTCTCTGGCTTCGATTACTAGGTGTTTGCATAGCCTCTCCAGATCAGTACAGCAGCTACGGACAAGTTTTCAGGATCATACAGTATGGAAACCACTAATGAAGGTGCCTGGGAAGCTGGTTATATTAAAATTTCTGAATGAACGTTTAATTATTTAAGCTTATTTTTACATCTCCAATTGTTAACTTAATTCATCAATTTTACTTTTGTGTAATACCATTTTCTGCCAATGAAGGTCACTAATGCATTTTGGAAATCACTCTTAGAGATGCCACTGATAGTAATATTTGCTAGTTTGTGCTAGTGAATAACCACTTACATATAAATAACTGATGGAGGGAAACATTTGCCATTAACATAATTGGAATTATATATTGAAGTTTAAAGACTTAAAATCTTGAACCAAATTGTCGAGACGTTGAGAGTTCAAACCCCAAGTCTAGGCTTTGAACTCCGTCTCAGCTGACACTCCAATACAGTGCTGAATTGTCAAAACACGCTGTCAGATGGATGTTCAAGATCTTGTGGGATCTCCTTGTGAGTTTCTGCAGGTGTCCTGGCCAACAATCTAAACTTAAAATTGGTCATTCACTTCATAGCTTTGGAGAACAATGCTTGTGTGCAAATTGGCTGCAATGTGCACCTACAAAATACACAGTCACTACACTTAACAGTTAATAATAATAATCCTTGCATTTAATATAGTACTCACCAAGTAGTTGAGAAGTCTCAAAGTGCTTCACAGGATATACTGTAAAGCGGTGTGACTGCATTTTGTGAGCAAACATGTTAGCCAATTTGTGAGTAGCAATGTCCCACGAAAAGCCATGAAGTGAGTGATTAATTTTATTTGGGGGATTGTTGGCTGGTACACCAGTATAAATTCCCTTCTCTTTTCAAAGAGTGCCATGGTATCTTTAATGTCCACTTAGGTGGGCAGACAGAACAATGCTTTAATGTTTCATCTGAAGGATGAAGCAGACAACATCAGTGCATTTATGAGGAAACTAGATGCATACATGAGAGCAAAAAAACAATAAAGAGGCTTGGGAGGGGGCAATAGGATGTGTGGAAGCTCATGTGGAGTATAAACACTAGCAGGTGCAAGTTGGCTGAATGGTCTGTTTAAGCGCTGTCAATTCTATGTAATTATTTGTTATGAAGCGATTGCAATGAAAATGAGCCAGTTAATACATTTTTATGTTTTTGTGTATGTCTATGACTATATAATAAAACTGCCTTGACAGCGTTTTTTATGCACAGGGCATGACAAACAAAGGCTGGATTCTGTAGTAGCTTTCCCAGAATAGTCCTGCTGAGTTGGCAAACTCGAGGTTGTTAATCCAGGCAATTAAATGTGGGAAGCGACTAAGGAATGGAGAGGAGAGAGAAAAAACAACAGATGCCAGCAGCAGGGAGAAAGTGCAGCCTCACAAATACCAAGTGAGCTCATCACAATTCTGTGAAATCAGGCTATACTAAGTGGAGATCATAATGGCTTTTCAGTGCAACCAGTTAGCAGGATTTTCTACAGGAACCAGGGGAGCAGAGCAGTGGCCCCTTGGAGCCTTGTCATTGTCCTAGAATACTACCTTCCTTCAGCTCCCACCCCTAGCTCTGGTGCCCAGTCAGTATTGTTAAGACGTAAAAACGCTATATAAATGCAAACTTGTATTGCTGGGGTGATCCTAAGGAGTAATAGAGTGACTCGGAATAAGATCAACCACGTACAGCATAATAATACAAAGAAGAATTAATATTACAATTAATCTAGATACTTACATAACTCTACAAGGTCCTGTCTAAGCTGATCCAAGCGACTTTCCATGGAAACTGCTGTTACTGTGCAGTGATTATTAAACCGACAGAAGCCAATGACTCTGTTAGGATGTCTCTTTCCTGGTAATGTTCTGTTCCTCCTCAGTTTCAATCTGTAATTGAAAGTTTTGTGTCCTGGTGTAACGTATGTGTACATTTTGCTCCAGACTTCTGATTTCAAGTCAGTTGAAGACTCACCTTATGTCCTTTTTGACTTTCAGCTGTTACAAAATGCCCCTGATGAGGTACTTGTGGTGGCGTCGTCAACACTGTGCAATCTTCTCCTCGAATTCTCCCCAAGCAAAGAGGTTGGTCTTGAGTGAAATGTCAGATCTCTGCTGAGCATGGATTGCAAACTGGTCAGGCTTCAGTTATGTTCATAACCACCTTAAAAGGACAGTGAATTATTAATTTTATTTCACAAGTTTTGACAGGCTTGTTCATTGTTACAAGAATACTCACGTATTTTCATCCACTTGGAAGCCTGTCCAAATTCAGCAACCAGTAGCTGCACTGATTGGATTTATTTTGTTAGTTGATCATGACTCATTCAGCCAAAATAACTAAGTGACTGTTAACATAGGCATTACTTTTTACATAGCTTCATTCATTTGCCCTCCCGATGCGAAAGATGCTATATACATGCATCCATTGCTGTTCCATTGAATTTATAATATTAAGGGCTCACAATGACCTTGGTTGATTTTAGTTAAATGCTTTGTAAAAATCGAATGTGTTCTTTCATATCACAATAGCCCATCCTGGAATCGGGAGCTGTGGATCTATTGTGTAACCTTACACAGAGTGAGAATCCAGCACTCCGAGTCAATGGGATATGGGCTTTAATGGTAAGCATTTTCTGTAATGTGAGCTTTTCATGATCTGTGAGATGCACTTGTCCAGGAATGGAAGGGGAGGAAGTTACAGGGGCTGGAGTGGGACATCCTCCAGATGTGAAAGGCACTGAGTGTAAGTGTAAAGTTGTTGTTGTTGTGGAGTGAGACTTTGGTTGAGGTATGTCAGAACAGCTATTTAATTGGAGCTTCTCATTCTACAGACATTGATGCCCAACAACCACTTCCATAACTTTGATCAGAAATGAGGTGTCATATACAGTAGATCAGTGTGGTCCAACAGGCAGCACGCGAGCCACCAGCGGCCCAGGGGTGATTTTATGCAGCCGGTGACCTTTTCCACCATTCTAACTTCCCTTCCTGGTGACCGTCCTCCCAGGGCAGCGGCAGGAGCCGGCGGTTGGGAGGACCCAGTGCTCGGAGCCTTTACTGAAATCTGTCAGGATGGCAAACGTGTCAACCGCGGCCTTAGCAACCAACCGCTGGCTCCTGAGGGAGAGGGGGAGAGTGCTTGCCTTCTTGACAGACTGCAGTAAAGGCTATGAGCGCTATGTCCTCCGAACCGCCGGCTTCTGCCGCTTCGCTGGGTGGACGTCCACCAGGGAGGGAGGGAGTGGGTCGGAATGTTGGAAATGGTCTCGGGCCGGATGTGGCCTACGGGTCTTTCTCAAATAGGGAATGCGGCAGCCAAAATCAAAAACAGAAAAGTTCTGATGCTCCAGGTGTAGAAGGCAAAAATATGCATTTTAATAGTATGCTTACTTTTCAGAATATGGCCTTTCAAGCTGATCAGAAGATAAAGACAGATATTTTGCGGGGATTAAGTACCGAACAGCTCTTTAGATTGCTGTCGGATTCAGATGTGAATGTACTAATGAAGACTCTCGGCCTCCTCAGGAATCTCCTATCCACCAGGCCTGTATGTATTTAAAGTCTACACTAAACATTTTATTCTTATTATGTCCCACTTCACGGAATTGCCACACCCTTTCTAGCACTCGTGTAAAGGAGTATTTACTTCTCTGAAGTGCAATTGTAAGTGACAAAGCTGTTTAAACAGAAGCTGCAAGGTATCATCTTCAGGTATTTGTATATAGTATTGTGGCTGGCGCATTGGCAGGAGTATGAAGGGCAGACCAGTTGCTGGGAGCATGGACTCTTCCAACCCGGCTCCAGTTAACCCTGCAAATGGGCAGGATGGTCCTAGCTGAACAAGCTGCAGAAAAGCTTGCCAAACAGTGCTCTCAATGGCAGACTATGCAGTTTTAACTGGTTAGACTCCAGCAGTATCTCAACTCTGGGGTCTCCAAGCCTTGGCTCTTGTCAACCTGAGCCTAATACTTTCTGCAGTTAGGTTCCAGAGCGAGAGAGTGCACATTCCATTCCAATAAACATCTCTGGAATTTCCATGTACGGTTAGGATGCATGGAATTCTCATTTTGTTTTGCATACAAAGGTGATGGGTTTCCGCACGTGTTAGATGGTCATCTGACCAAATTTTTTCTTTGGATTTTTTGTGCTAAGTCTTTGATATTTTCTTTGTTCTTATAAATGTTTGTGCAGGGAACAGTTTGGGCAAAAGATTTGGCCCTGATGTACATCTCCAGATTCTTACCTAGAATTTCAGCTTTCATCTCGCCTGTGCCTCAGATTATACCACTTTATTATATCTGCCTTTTGTTTATTTCAAAGGTTACTGAACTGAAACATGTTATTTTTTATTGTACTTTGAGAAGTGGATAAATTATCTATCTCTTTGTTTTTATCGCCAGCACATAGATCAGATTATGAGCACTCATGGAAAGCAGATAATGCAAGCAGTGACACTTATCCTGGAAGGGGAGCACAATATTGAAGTCAAAGAACAGGTAGGTCTGTGTCTTTGGAGAAGTGCATTATTTAATTTGAATAAAAATGCTCTCTGTATAAATGTGTGGTTCTTAATGCAAGGCTTTCAATAAGACAGCAAATGTTTGGGTTGAATTTGGATTGAGTTCTGCACTAATCTTAAATAGATGAATTGGATGCTGTTTCAACCCTTTTGAGTTGGTTCTCTTCTGATGTCTCTTGGCTGGATAGATTAAACACAAAGAGAAATGTATTGGATAACTTGTATGTCATGAAGCTGCCATAAGGCATGATTTCTATCTTCATTTGATCTCTTTGTTAAAATCTTTCTCTCTCTCAATTGCTTGCTGATCATTTACAGTTTGTAGCAGTATAGAAACCTTTTTTGTAACTTAAAATAAAACTGGACAACAATTTCAGTTACAATGGCAGAGCAATTATCTGGCAGCTGGCTGGAGTTTTGTATGATTCAAACAGTATATTTCACTTTGCTGTGAATGCATCGGTGCAATGAACTACAGCAGGTTTGTAGAACACTCACAGCGAAGGAGGCTGATTGAACCAGACTGCAAGTAGCAGGTTGTATAACACAACATTAGTGACTAGTTCCAGGTGGGTCAGTGGAAAGACCTGGCTGTTGAGTTTTCAGGCATCATGTTGAAGAAGAGAATTCTATTTAGGTCTTCACATGTCAAATTTCGCTGAAAATGAGTCAGTGGATCCCACAGATCTGCACATATTCTGTTTATATAACGCACATTAAGTAAGGAAAATGATCAGAAAGATCAACGTTTGAGTTGTGGTATGCTTTTATTAATATTGATATGAGAGCTGTTTAGGATTATGATTTAATCTCCAGGAGGTAACATTGTGATAAAAGTGTGATAAAAGTGATGTCGTTATTGTGATTTTTATTTTTAGAAGGTTACAGGGTGCGAAGGTCTTCATCATTTAATATTGGCAAGGGAAAAATGCTAGCATGTGATAAAGATGCCCTGCTGATTTCACCCAAAATATCCAGCAGATTTTACTTATTTTCCATAATTTGATCTTGATCTGTAAATGAAATCAAAGCACATAAAAAGCTTTTCTGTGTTGAACAGTGCTGAACGAAACCCAAAGATCATGATAGATTGCTGTGTGAGCATACTCAAATGTGTTTTGAAAGGTAGTCTGCTATTTAAGCTGTACTTCCATGTGCCATATCCTGCCAATTGGAGTAAAGGTTGACTTGATGAAAGTACAGGATGTGAGTTTTTCCAGCTACTCTTCGCCAAGATCGAGCCTGTTGCTCTTCTCTTACTCCTGGTTGATATTTAGAGTTAGTCTTCATGGAAAGTTTTTGGCAGATCTATTTCTGTTTGCATAGAAAATTGCAAATTTTTACTTGTATCACTGTCATCATTATAGTGCTGAGAGATTCTTATTTTACTCTGAGCTCTAATGACCCTTGTTGTCTTCTGCTCTTAATAATCAGAAGTTTCCTCATCAGCTTGGGATTCACTGTTCAGTGTCTCTCAATCTCACAATCCAATATTTGCAAAGTGGAAGTCACAATTAGTGACTGGAATTTGGCTTTGAGAATATCATGTTTTAGACAACATTAAAGCACGACTATTTTGGCTATCACTGTTATTATTTGAGGAGTAGAGAACCCACCTTTTTTTATGAACTGAAAATCTTACTGGCAAATACATTCCAAGTGCTTTATTAGCCATAATATATGTAGTTTCAGTCAATAACTAAAGGATCATATTTCAGCTTTTCTCTTTGCCAGCTTTCTTTTTCTCCTGGTTTATTGATGTTGGCCACAAGCCAGCAGCTCAAGTGTCCGCTCTTCATTTGTGAGCCAGATCATGCTTGTCGGCAAAATACAACCACACGTGGCATAGCAGCTGATCTCATTCTTACCAATATACTTTCCATCTGGAGTCACTGGAAATATTGGTGATCACTAGCATCAGCTTTGGCCGATTTTTATTTCTCTCTTCCATGGCATTGATTATAATGTACTACCTTGAGTTTTTATCTCGCCTGAAATTACCTGACTTAGCACAGAGCAGAATTGAACCCTTAACTATCTGATCTTTGTCTCTTAGTGCTATATCTGGCAGTGCCTTTACCCACTAGACCATTGAGGAAGCAATTTCAGCTCTTTATTGCCTAAAAATACATTTGTCTTTGCAATTTCGGTCTCTGCCTCTGCAGTTGCTATGGATGCAGTGAGCACATATATCGGAATCTACTACATAGTATGTTTGCTGATGGTTCATTCAATACAGTTGACATTTATATTGCGCCTTTCACGTCAGGAGGATGTCTCAAGGCGCTGGGAAATGGGTGAATGGGAGCCGGGAGGGTAAGGGGCAGAAAGATAACTGAAAGCACAGTCAAAGTACGTTTTGAGACGTGCCTTGAGGGAGGGAGGGATTCGGGATGGAATCCCAGGCAGGGCGAAACCTTAGGCAAGTATCTTACTCCACACGCCTCTTTTTACCTAACAATAAGTAGGAACGAATGGAGTTGTTAGTCGAATGGAGGATCGCTTTCTGGGAGTAGCAATCCCTCAAAAAAAATGTGGTCATTCAATCCATAACTGTTTGTGGGACATTGCTGTGCACAATGATGCCATGTTTCGGCCACAAAATATACAGTCAATCCACTTTACAGTATATTCTGTGAAGCACTTTGAGATATCAACAATGTGATAAGTGCTATACTAAATGCAAGGATTATTATTATTATTACAGAACGGGGACAGAATGGCTGAAAGCCTGCCCACTAATGATGGGGTGGATAGAGCAGAGGACATGAAGCAGGGAAACCTGCTTTGGAGTATTCTCTCAGAGTATTTCAGAACCTAATTAAAGGGATATCGTACACAAGTGTTTGTTCCCTTTTCGTTTTGCCCATAAAATACACAGTCATCCACTTTACAATGTATTCTGTGAAGCGCTTTGAAACGTCTCGACAAAATGATAAGGCGCTGTATCAAATGCAAAGATTATAATTATAAAAGAGAGTATTTTACAAAGTTTACTTAATCCTTTTACAGATCCTTTAGATTAAAGCTAGTTTTAATCTCTCCTTTGTGTGCTGGTTGTCTTTTACTAATGGCAACTTGAAGCATAATATCTTTTTGACCTCTCCCAGCATCATTCAGTGTTCTCTGGGTGCTGTAGTGTAGAAGGGCATTAAAATCATGAAGAAATTGGGCTCACCGGGTGCATATTACTAGGTTTGAAATTGCTGCTGTACTGATTTGATATGTATCAAGGATGACAAGTGCCAGTCAAATTTATTTTAAACTTGTGCCATTAGGGGAGAGAAGCCATAAAACAGGAGTGTTACTCGTCACTTGGGGAACTCTTGAGGTTAGACTGAATGGAGACTTGACATGATTGCTGTTTCCCAGCTGACCCCCTTGCTCTCCGTTCAGCGTTCATTTGATTCACAGCCCCACAATCTGCCTGAGTGGGAGCGGAGCTGGATATCGCGCTAGGATTCTGTTGCTCACCTGCTTGATCAAAGGTTCCTCGTTGAAAGAATGCAAATCGTTCAATTTGCATTTTCTCTCACATTGTCCTGGCCGGGGGGCGGGGGGGGCAAGTTTTAAATGTGTCCAATTTAAAGATTTCAGTTGGAATATTGTTTTGTTTTCAGTAGCAGAGGGATTCTATTTGTCTTGTACATTATTTCCCTGCTGTGTTACAACACCGTTTAATTGTAGGCATCCACTAAACTTGGCTGCATTTAGTTCTAATCTTCCAGAAGATTATATATATTAAAAAAAATGGGATAGATAATGAAGACGAAAGGTTGTCGAGATATTGATGAACATCACATTACAAAGAAAGATGGTGTGAAAATAACCTGTATGTATTGAAGCTTGACTATATATATTATATATAATGTAGAAATATATATGCACAGTAGATCAAAGTGGTAACAAGGTAATTGAAGTCCATAAACCACACCCCCCTCCTAAAAAATAAACAATTTATATAGTCTCTTTCAGTCAGCAGGATGTTTTCATAGTATTTCACACAACAAACTGGGAGAGAATAGGGAAGGAGGGTAGCAGAAGCATGATGCAAAATTACATAGCAAGACTTGGTGGCAGTTACTGGTTACAATGTCGGAATATACAAACTGAAGCCTCCAGGTAGATAAAGCTAAACAATACTGTACCTTGGAAATATTTGTATTCAATACTGTTGAATACAATACTGGGTGTATTCAATAGTGTTAACAGAATGTTCTCAAACTCCTTTAGGCCTTAACATCGAAAAGTGTTTTGAGTCATATCAGTTCATTTTCACAGGATATTCATGCTCGTAGAACATGGAATCTGTACTGTGTCCATGTTAATATGTTACATAATAATACATGTTAATCATGGTTAATATCCATTCTCTGATCTCAGGGGCATGTGCGTGGGCCACTTGAGTAATTGCTTCTGCTTTGCCAATAAGTGTGGCAGCTCAAGTATTGTTCAATAATTGATCTGAAAAGTGGATTTGGAAATTAATACTTTGTGAGAAAAGGAATTTAGTAGCTGGCATATTAGTAATGATTATTTTTAAATCTATCACAGAACGTTTGGCCTTGATGAAAATTTGATTTGACGTCTGTACGCATGTTGTGCTTGTGCTTGGGAAATTAGTAAGCATTGTCCATTTCTAAATATGGTACTATTTAGGTTTATACATTAATTTGGTTATTCGTCTTTTTTATTGTGTTAATGTTCTAACCTGAGAAGCACTTCCAGCAAATTTCTGTAATATCTAAACCTCAGAAGCTTTGTTCTTACAAATAACCATCATTCTAAAATGTTTTACAATACACTGCAGTCATAATAATATAATAATAATCATCCTAGCATTTGATTTATTCGAGAGAACCAGGTTATTCACCAAGGAAAACATTTTCTAATTCCATCTCAACAACAGAATCTCTTGCAGAAAATCTCGAATGAAGCTTTGTCCCTGATATTTGTAACCTGACAAAACGTATGGCA